TTTTTTTTTTTTTTGTCTGGGAAGCTCTTTATTTCACCATTTATTTTGCATGATAGCCTTGCTGGATAGAGTATTTTTGCCTTCAGATCCTTGTTTAGCATTACCTTGACTACTTCATGCCATTCCTTCTGGCTGTTAAGTTTCTGATGATAAGTCAGCTGACAGCGTTATGGAAGCTCCTTTGTAGGTAACAGATTGCTTTACTCTTGCTGCCTTTAAGATTTTTCTCCTTGTCTTGAATTTTTGGCATTCTAATTATGATGTGTCTGGGCATGGTCCTCTTTGGATTCTTCTTGCTTGGGACTCTCTGTGCCTCCTGAACTTGTGTGGCTTTTTCCTTCACCAGGTTAGGGAAGTTTTCTGCCATTATTTCTTCAAACAGGCTCTCTAACCCTTGCTTACTTTGGCCCTCCTCTGGCACTCCTATGATGCAAATATTGTTACTTTTTATGTTGTCCTACAGCTCCCTTATACTGTCCTGTTTTTCAATTGTTTTTTCTTTTTGGGTCTCTGATTGAGTGATTTTTTCCTACCCTGTCTTCTAATTTGTTGATCTGATCCTCAGCTTCCTCTATTCTGCTTTTTATTCATTCCAATGTATTCTTTATTTCTGCTATGTCATTCTTAATTTCCTTCATAGTTTTCATATCTTTTTTTCATGGTGTTGAGCATCCTTACAATCAGTATTCTGAACTCTATCTCTGAGAGATTGCTTATCTCCATTTCATTTAGCCTCTTTTATTGGAGACTTCTCTTGTTCTTTCATTTGGGGCTTGTTTTTTTATCTCTCCATTTTTGCTGCCTACTTGGGTTTGTTTCTATGTATTAGATAGGCCCGCTAGGACTCTCAGTCTTTTTGGACAGTCTCTGGTGCAAGCCAATGTCAGGCGCTGTTTGTGACTGGCCCTGAGTACCCTGTTTGGAGCTATCAACACCCCATGGCTTGAGGTTGCCTCTGCTGAGGCTGGGTGTGTTTGGACAGTACCAAGATGCACACCAAAGTCTGCTTTTCCAAGGCCCTGGTCCAGAAGCAGATCAGGCAAAGACTCAAGCACTCTGAGGTCTGCCTCTGCCTGTAGGCTGATTATTCTGATTCTCTTAATGAGTCTCAGGCTATAGAAACTCCATGGGGTATGGGGAGAGGTTTTCCAGCAGGATGGGGCAGTTGCTTCCCCTCCAGGCAAAAGCTGCTTGGAAGGTAAATGTCTGCCTTTGTAGAACGGGGGAATGACTAGGCATACCTCCAGTCCACGCTGCCCTCCCTCTGCTGTAGCCCAAGGTGAGTGGCTACACATGAAACTTTGTGCTTTGGCTCTTTAAGAAGGTCCCTGCAGTTCACCTGTCTCCCTGGCAGGCAGAAACCCTGTTGCTTTTCACAGTCAGAAGTTATGTGGGCATCTTTTTCAGTTCTGGTGCTCTTGACTGGGAAGCCCAGCCTGGGGTTTAGGCCCCAGAGTCCTCAGTGGGAACCCCCCACAGCTGAGATATCCTCTGGCCCTTCAGCTGCTGCCTGCGGGAGCCCAGACAGCCCTCTCTCACCTCCGCATTTCCTACCAGTCTCTATTCGGTCTCTACTTTTCCTCCTTGGTTATGAGGATGCTCTCCAGCTCGTCTTCAGTTGATTATTTGGGATGTTCTTCTACAGTTTAGTTGTAATTCCAGTTTGGCCCCAGGAGAATGTCAGAGTAGCTTTCACTTAGTCTCTCACCATCTTTAATCTTAAGTGTATGGTTTTAAGTCTGAAGTTACAGTTTTTAAAAGTAAGATTGACATGATTTTTTTTCTGTGCTGAAGTTACAGAATAACTGGTAAAGGTGAGTCTGAAGTTTCTGTGATCTGATCAGAGCCTGCGTTTTTAACTACTCTGTGATCTTGATACCCCAAAGGTGAATTGTAGTGGTGAAAGTGAATTGTTTTTGAAATTCTGTCAGGCTTCAAATCCTGACTCTACTACCTAATTATATGACCTCTCTGATTATAAGTAGCCACCTTGCCTAACTTCCAGGATTATGGTGGGGATTAAATGACACAAAAAATTAAAGGGAAAAGAGAGGAGCCAGTGCTAGGCAATGTGCTTATGAACTGACTTTGTCAAAGGTCTTGTTCACACAGACCTGAGGTCTTGTTTACACAAGGGGGATCCAGCCCCTTTTATGGAACATGTTTCTTTTACAGCTGCTTAGAGAAAAGGGTCTGCCTTAGGCCCTGGTGCATTCTCTTCAAGTGTAAGCATAGTGCTTCACTTAGTAATCAAGACATATGTGCCAACTGAATGAATAAGTTAAATTTATATGACACAATAAGAAAGATTACAAGATATGGTAGGATTTGCTGATGTAGATTATAATGGAAAGGGAGGGATAGAGTGGCCATTTACTACGATAGAGAAGACTGAAGGTGGACCAGCTTGCAGAGAGGAGATATTCCTGTTAGACTTTCAGATGGATATACTAAGTAGAAGTGGGATATCAGACTCAGTAGTTGGGGGAACAGGTTGAAGCTATATAAATCCGAACATTCTCAGTTTATAGATGGTATTTTAAAGCCAGGAGACTGGATCTGAGTACCCAGATGGTGAATACAGATAAACCAGTGATTTTCAACCTTTTTCATCTCATGGCACACATAAACTAATTACTAAAATTCTGCGGCACACCAAAAATATATTTTTTGCTGACCTGACAAAAAAAGAAGGTATAATTTTGATACATTCACACCACCAGATGACTATTGTGTTGGCTGTTGTCATTTTTGCATTGACAATCTAAGGGAAAAGAGGTCAGGGTCCCCGACTAAATAGTCAGCTATTGCATGTTTTAAAAATTCTTACAACACATTGGTTGAAAATTGCTGAGATAAACAGAAGTCCAAGGACTGAATTCTGGATAACTCAGTCTCTCATTTCCAGTTTCTTCTCCTTTTAAGAATACCTTTGCTGCCTTCTTATTGTTGAGACAAAGAAAATAAATTAAAAGGACCTAATTTAAGACACTGCTGTCTAAACTACTTATAGTAAATTGAAGCAGTAAAGTGAAGCCATCAAGTACTATTAATGCTCAGAGGTTACCTTTCTTTCTGAACTTTTCAATATAGGAATTTATGATTTGCAACACATATGACAAATAATTAAAATCTTTTATAAATAAAGGAGACTTAAAAATCTGTAAGAAGGACAAACACTCCAAAAATGTGATTTAAACAGGCAAAACAATAAATATAAATGGAGGATTCACAAATATATCACATTTTGGGATATTTTAATGATTTCAACTGAAAAGACTCTGTCCTTAACTATCATCATCTTACCATTTTTACTATCTATTTTAAAGCTATTTGAGTGAAGTGGTTGACTAATCATTTCCTCTATAGCTTCCCCAAACAAATATTATTATTTTTTTTAGTGGAAATAATTACCTTCTTTTTAGGATAACAGGAACTTGATTACAGCATTAGAGGAGCAGAGTGGCATTGTAGTAGGTCAAGGTCATTTCATACAGCCTTGGAGCCTGGGGCAAGTTGCCTAACCTTTCCCAAACTTGCCTCACCTGTTCATGCTAACCTCCTAAAAACCTGTGCGGAGGTCAGATTCAGGTCAAATTCAGCAGTGTACATAATGGTTCTTTGAAAATGCAAAGTAGACAAATACTGGTATAAGGTGGTAATGGTATTTTTAAAAATTATTTATCATTATTAACATTTTAGCCATACATTTAAGTGGTTAACAGTGTCACGTAATATGGATAGGTTTCCCTGTATACAATTGCAAAAGATCTTACTGTTTCTATCCAAGTCCTTTAGCATGTGACCAGCTTTTCTAGTTAAGATTGTAATCCCTATAATTCAGCTCTGGTGATAGTGGGATGATTGAATGGGGTCAGTGCTAATTTAATGCTCTCGAATGTAGAGACTTATCTTGAATAAATCTATTCTGATATTGTTTCACTGAACATTATTGATCTCAGTAAGTTATTCAGGCTTCAGTGCTTATCTGTGTGGTTGCACTTTGACCAATTTCCACTTGGGGGTGGTGTTTCATTGCGTAATTGAGTGATTCTTTATTTAAATATTGCATTTGCCAATTGGCTTTTCTTGCTTAGTTAAAAAGGGTCTTAAAAAACTGTTAGCTATATGTCTTAAAATCTTGATTTTTTTGCTGGTTGTTTCTTGGCATTTGCATGGAAATGAACAATTAATAGGAATTTAGTCGTGAATCTTACCACTTTTAAAAAATTTTTTTTATCTCTTGAGGGATAATGTAAGCCTTTTTTCATTATTTTGTGTGTTCGCAGTATTTTTTTACATGCAGTAAGACTGATAAGACTATATTTTTAGGAAAAATATATCCCAGTCCACATTTTGAAAATCTTATTTCCTTAAAAAAAAGTTGGGTACAAACACGTTGATTTAGCCAATTTTAAGTGTGGATAGGCATTTGCTTTTTCTCTGTATTATCTTTACCACTCAACCTCACTTGCGACTCTCATTCCAATCTAAGAAAAAAAAGCCATTCTTCAGAAGGAAAAAAAATGTATTTTTTCAGGTGTGGTAATCATAACTAATATTAAAAGACTTTAAAATTTAATATATGGCACCATGCCATTTATTATTTAATATTTTTTGTTATATTCTTAAAAATCTATGTAATAACCCTACAAAATGATCATTTTCAATGCAAATTAATTTTTTGTCCCAAGTATTTTTCTTACACTATGTTTTTTCAATATTTGGAATTGATCTGAGTATCTTTTCATTAGTTTTTGCATGTTATTTCATAAATTTTACCTTAAATTACTGTGTAAATTTACTTTATTTGTCCCTAAAATTTAGACATGTTCTCCTTTATTTACTTTATGCTAAAATTTACTGTGCATTATGGTATTCATAGGTTATCAACTTTTAAAGATGTACCATTCTTTTTTTAAAAGATGTACAATTCTTATACATCTATGTGTTCCTCTAGATTTCCTTGCAAATAGTAAATGCTCAATCAATGTTCGTATCTATATAATTGGCTGTAGGCAGATGTTATGTAGTAGGTGTGGCCAGTTAAACATATAAAGGTGGAGTCATGGTATAAATTAGTGACTGAACACATTAGTTCTATATGTAGTTTTGACCACTTTTAATAGTTTTGTTTCATCACAGACTATGGCATAGTTCTATGAAAATTTATAAGTTGCTTCTCTGTCTAATAGTTTAATATGCTTGTTCTCTATCACTTGTAAACAGAGGCTGTTCTGTAAACAGGCTTTCTTGGTAGAGAAGATACTTCACATTGTGTTTTTAACTTTTTTTTTTAAAACTGTGGTAAGAACACTTAATAATGAGGCCTACCTTCTTAACAAATTTCTAAGTGTACATTAGTTCCTCCTCATTCATGGTTTCACTTTCCACGATTTCAGTGACATACCTTCAACCACAGTCTGAAACTATTAAGCGGAAAATTCCAGAAATAAACATATGTCATTGTGTGTTGAATCTTAAAGTGATCTTTTGTTTTTTTTTTCTTTTTTTTCTTTCTTGCTAAAAATGTGTTGAGTCATGTTCTTTTCCTTTTTTAAAAAGCAGAAGCATTATAAAATTAAAACTTTTATCACAAATCTGTGTTTAAGTATTTTTACTGCTTCCTCATATCTCTATTTAAAGACAAAGAGGCATGTTTTGAATGTATACACCTCTGTGTGTTTAGTAAAATGGGGATGGGATAGGATGGAATTGGGCAGACGACTAAAGAAATACACTAATAATTTTATTTCAACTCATACTTTGAAGGTCTGGAAATGAATTCACGTTTGTTGTTTTTGCATTGCAGTGAATGACTTAGGAGGAGACTTCAAGGGAGTTGGTAAAGGCTCCTTAGCTGCTGATAAGGTTGTTGAAGAAATAAGAAGGAAAGGCGGAAAAGCAGTGGCCAACTATGGTATGGTATTTGAGAGAACTATACTAGTTTTAAAATTTTTCTTCAACTAATGCTATGGCACACATTGGTAATCACATTGATACCTTTCATTCCACTGCAGTTATGAAATTAGATTTTATCTAAGTCAGACAAAGCTCTTTGGGTACATATTTTATATAATATGTGAGAATTTTAAAAACTTTTGATGTAGATTATTTCATAAGTCTAACTTTTATTCTATTGCTTATTTAATTTTTTTTATTAATGAGCATGTGATATAATCGGTAAATTATGGTAGATGTGTATATGAATATGTCCTTTTTCTTAAAAGACCTGTTTTAGCTAAAAGGTCTTATGTATTTCTACAGAATAACACTAAATTCTTTTGACATTATTTAAAATTTTTTAAAAGTAATATCATATCAGAAGTGAAATGCCCCTTTTGTACCCGACCATCATATTCCATTATGCACGAGTAATCGTTGCTATATGTAACTTCTTATCTTTTTTTTTTTTTTTTAATATATCTATTGATTTCAGAGAGAGGAAAGGAGAGGGAGAGAAATAGAAACATCAATGATGAGAGTCATTGATCAGCGGCTTCCTGCACATCCTTGACTGGGGATCAAGCCTGCAACCCGGGCATGTGCCCTGACCAGGAATTGAACCCCGATCACCTGGATCCTAGGTCGATGCTCAACCGCTGAGCCACGCCTGGCCGGCTGTAACTTCTTATCTTGATAAATACTTAAGAGTCAAAGTTAGGCATTAAAATGAAGCCACAAGAAAAACAGCAAATACAACCTTTACATTTGACATATTGATTCTAGTAGTATTTGTAAGGAACCTTCTTGAATAGATTTAGTTTAAAGAGCTAGCACTTACTAATTTTTCTGAGAATTAGATTGATTTTATGGGCCAAGGATTAAATTAGATTACCAGTGACTTCATTTTGAAATTTTAGAGGAAAGGAGATAGGATTTGACTTAGTTTGAGTGTTTGAGGGAATAATGAGACACAGGCATTTTAGTATCTTCTTTTCACATTAAGGATTTAGGAAAATGTTTTCATTTTTTATTTTATTAAATTGAGGGATTTTAAAAACCTACTTTATAACGGTAAAAATTCCAGACCCTTTCTCAGCCCCAGCTTTGATATGCAGCCTGTGTCAATCAGGATTCAGTCAGGAAACAGAAGCCCCTCGAGGTTTTCCAGGGGTGAGGGTTTTAATACAGAGAATTAGAGGCTTACATAGCCATTGGAAGGGCTGGGCAGTGCATGTCCAGGAAACCGTCGGTGACTGTTCAGCCCGCAGCAGGTGGTAGATGTGCTGTCGGTCTTACATCTTCTCACAAGATTGCCTACATCTGCAGGCTTCTGCTTTTCCACTTTTTAGGTTATTATCTCTTTTATGCATATCTAACTCGGGACTATGTGTGTCCCAGGAAAGGGACTGTATTTCCTGGATCCTTCCCTGCCATTGCAGAGAATATAGAAAGAGACAGTGGTGATGTTGAGTTGACAGCTGACCATTTGACACGTAACTCTGGATATAAGAGCCCTTCCCCTTGGCTGATTAGCAGAAAATAATGAAGCTGTACTATTTTGTCAAGCTTTATTTTTAGTGGTATTACAAAAACAGTAAGTTTATTTTCCATATGTAGTTTATATAGTGTTGAACATGCTTTTTCAAATTAAATATGTACCTTCTTCCCTCCCTCCCAAATTCTGATTTGTATTCTTAAGGGGAAGTGCCCATGAGGCTATTCAAAATTAAATATACAGTGTGGGGCAGGCTTACAGTTGTTCCTATGAAAAATAATACAGTAATTAATAAATAATAATGCAAGAATAAACTCTGTTTTACATACGCACAACTTGTAAACCCACTTTTGCCCCAGCTTGTATATTAAATAAATACTCAGTTTGTCATCTAGCCACATTTCAAGCACTCAATAGCCACATGTGGTTAGTAGTTACAGCATTTGTGCAGAAATAGGACATTTTCATCTTCACAGAAAGTGATATTGGACAGTATTTGCCAAGTATTTCTTACTTACCCCTTCTTTCCCCCTTTTTTGTAGGTTAAAGAATTATCTTAGGGGCTAAATTTCTTTTATAACATTAGATCGTCTATATTTTGATTTATTATGTGCCTGCAATATAAATATATTTTTCTTGGACATGAGTCCTGTTGAGTGAATAGTATTTGTCATGTGCCTTGATCCATAGAATTTAGAAATTGCCCTGGCCAGGTAGCTCATTTGGTTAAAGCATTGTCCCAATACACTAAGGGTTATGGCTTTGATCCCCAATCAGGGCACATACAAGAATCTACTAATGAATGCATAAATAAGTGGAACAACAGATCAGTGTTTCTCTCTCTCTCTTTTCCCTTCTCCCCCCATTCCTCTTTCTAAAATCAATTTTAAAAAAAGAATTTAGAAATTATTTTGAGCCCAGCTGGCATGGCTCAGCGGTTGAGCATTGATCTATGATCCAGGAGATGGCTGTTCTATTCCCAGTCAGGGCACATGCCTGGGTTGTGGGCTTGATCTCCAGCAGGGGGCATGTAGGAGGCAGCTGATCAGTGATTCTCTCTCATCATTGATGTTTCTCTCTCCCCCTCTCCCTCTCCCTCCCTCTGAATCAATAAATAAAAATATTTAAAAAATCATTTTGAGATATATTATTGAAGTTTTGTACTAATTTCCCTTTCCCTCAGATTCAGTGGAAGCAGGAGAGAAGGTTGTGAAGACAGCTCTGGATGCCTTTGGAAGAATAGGTGATGTTTCTTTGCATTTATGGCACTAACAGAACAGCTACTACCTTCCTAATAAAATATTTTTTATTTTACTTTTGTTTATTAAAAATTTCCTCTTTCTTGATAATCAGGTATTTAGATTTGTTTTATAAATTCATTACATAACCTACTTTAGTCTACAAAGGGTTTGAGGTGGGACAATTTTTATGTATATATGTGTTGTTTGTTTTATATTTTTCTGCACTTTAAGAGCTTTTAAATAACATAATCATTCTGTCAGTTTCCTTTTTATAATTATTTATACCCCAAATACATTTATAAAATAAAAAAAGAAACCAATATTTTGGCAATAGAGGACCCAGTGGAATCTTTTAGATAATTAAAATGGTTTAGATTAAAATGATTCAATATATTGCAACTTAATTAAGATGAATTATGTATAGTTGACCCTTGAAACAATGTGAGGATTTGGGGTTCCAACCCTTTCTACACAGTTGAAAATTCAAATATAACTTTAGACTCCCCAAAAACTTAACTACTAATAGCCCACTGATAATATAAACAGTCTGTTAACATGTATTTTGTATGTTATTTGTATTATGTACTGTATTTTTACAATAAAGTAAGCTAGAGAAAAGCAAATGTTATTAAGAAAATCATAAGGGACAGAAAATACATAATAGTACTGTACCATACTTATTGATATTGTAAGTTTGTGTCATCTGTATACAAGATGAATTGTCTTTCAATTCCTACATTAATATTGTCTTATATGATACAGAACACTGTAAATGTTATATGTATTATGAACACTACACATAAAAAATGCAAAGATAATATGAAAGAAATTCATATTTACAGGTATAAAGATTCATGCATTGGTAATGAAGAAGTAGCAATATGATTGCTTTATGGTGTAATTGATATGATTACTTCAAGGTAGCTTACCCTGTATACTAATGAGTGAATTGTTACAAGATTTTATGGTATACAGTGCTAGTTATATTCATAATAGTTATATTTATATATTCATGACACATCTAACTTTTTCTTAAGGTTTTGGTTTTTTTTGATATTTCTAGGCTATGTGGTTTGTCTGCAAGTTTTTTCACATTGTTGCAGATCTCCAAAAAATTTTCTAACATTTATTGAAAATGAAAATTCACATATAAGTGGACCCACATGGTTCAAACCTGCCTTGTTCAAGAGTCAACTGTATAATAAAAATCTTCATTTTTCAGAAGCATTTCCAATGTATTGTTTAGTCCACTGTTCTCTAGATAAACTTCCTGGTTTAGTGCCACACAGTTTTAATAAGAGGTTGATTATTGAGAGAGAGAAACATTACTAAAGATAAGCCCAACATGTTTACAATCTGAAAAACATTATTATTATTATTATTTTTGTAATTTGAATGTACTCCCCTCTTTTTCCATCTAGCATATTTATTTTTCTAGTCATGTTTGGTTGAGCTCATAAGAGACTTATTCACACATATGTGACAGGGATCAAGACCCACAAAGGTGAGAAGTCAAAGGGTGAAAATAGCTGCATGATTGTGGTTCACCTTAAATATAATTTCTTTTCATAAGAAGAAAACAGTTATGTGTTAAGATAAGACATTCGTTTCTAACTCTAGTGGTTTTCTTTCTGGGTTTTTGACTTTTGAGTAGNAAACTTAACTACTAATAGCCCACTGATAATATAAACAGTCTGTTAACATGTATTTTGTATGTTATTTGTATTATGTACTGTATTTTTACAATAAAGTAAGCTAGAGAAAAGCAAATGTTATTAAGAAAATCATAAGGGACAGAAAATACATAATAGTACTGTACCATACTTATTGATATTGTAAGTTTGTGTCATCTGTATACAAGATGAATTGTCTTTCAATTCCTACATTAATATTGTCTTATATGATACAGAACACTGTAAATGTTATATGTATTATGAACACTACACATAAAAAATGCAAAGATAATATGAAAGAAATTCATATTTACAGGTATAAAGATTCATGCATTGGTAATGAAGAAGTAGCAATATGATTGCTTTATGGTGTAATTGATATGATTACTTCAAGGTAGCTTACCCTGTATACTAATGAGTGAATTGTTACAAGATTTTATGGTATACAGTGCTAGTTATATTCATAATAGTTATATTTATATATTCATGACACATCTAACTTTTTCTTAAGGTTTTGGTTTTTTTTGATATTTCTAGGCTATGTGGTTTGTCTGCAAGTTTTTTCACATTGTTGCAGATCTCCAAAAAATTTTCTAACATTTATTGAAAATGAAAATTCACATATAAGTGGACCCACATGGTTCAAACCTGCCTTGTTCAAGAGTCAACTGTATAATAAAAATCTTCATTTTTCAGAAGCATTTCCAATGTATTGTTTAGTCCACTGTTCTCTAGATAAACTTCCTGGTTTAGTGCCACACAGTTTTAATAAGAGGTTGATTATTGAGAGAGAGAAACATTACTAAAGATAAGCCCAACATGTTTACAATCTGAAAAACATTATTATTATTATTATTTTTGTAATTTGAATGTACTCCCCTCTTTTTCCATCTAGCATATTTATTTTTCTAGTCATGTTTGGTTGAGCTCATAAGAGACTTATTCACACATATGTGACAGGGATCAAGACCCACAAAGGTGAGAAGTCAAAGGGTGAAAATAGCTGCATGATTGTGGTTCACCTTAAATATAATTTCTTTTCATAAGAAGAAAACAGTTATGTGTTAAGATAAGACATTCGTTTCTAACTCTAGTGGTTTTCTTTCTGGGTTTTTGACTTTTGAGTAGCAAAAAAAAAATCTTTTAAGCTTTTAACTTTCTGAGTGAATTTTAAGATTAAATGAGGAATGGCTTGTGGTTTCCACTGAATCCCAAGAACCTAAGAGTTGTGCAATAGCTAATCCTGTAAATACGATGATAGAATTTCAACAGAATGTAGAGGTGGAAAAATTTAAATATGTAAGTTTGAGAGCAGAGCACTGATATGTGTTATTTGTTGTGGTTTTCTGAGTCAGATTTTTTTTTCTATAGGTAGAAAATTTTGTTCTGATAGTACTCTTTTACCAATTATATATATACTTTTCCTTGGGGAAAAAACAACCCAATTTTGAAGTTGTAAGAAATGCAAATTAATATGCTTGCTTATATATTTGTGACCCGGATCTTTTTATATTGCAGACATTGTGGTTAACAATGCTGGGTGAGTATTTCTTTTTTTCATTTTTGGTAAAGTAATGTGCCTACAAAGTTTTGTTTTTTTTTTAAGTGTATACTCCTTTCCCCCCTAACCGATATAATATCAATTTTTTAGAATTCTGAGGGACCGTTCCTTTAGTAGAATAAGTGATGAAGACTGGGGTAAGTGGTTTTAAATATATGTCTCTATGGAATTTACCTATCCATTTAACCTTTTAATATTTGATAAATTTATACATTTAAGGAAAAATTTGCTTATATCTATTTCTGCTAATAAGTGATGAATAAGCTTTATAACTGAAAATGATGAACACTTGGAAATAGCCTATTTTTTTAAACATTTGAGAAATGTAAAAAAATTGAAATCAGTTGTCAGAAGTTATTCAGAAGGATTTTGTACCTTTCGATTTGTTTTCCCCTTTTTTCCTTGAGAGGTTGTCAGCATTTCCTTGCAGCATTAACTCACTCTTTCTAACAGCCTTTAGCATCCGTATCTGGCTGTGTGATTCTTATTTCAAGAGCAAGAGCAGGACATGGAAGGGAGGGAGCGTGGCGCACTGAAAATGATGGAGATTTTAGAACTGGGTGGGGAAAACCTAGATGTAACTTTGAAGCTTCTAATGAGTAGGAAAATCTTCCATTAGGAATGCCACCTGGAAAGATTGAGTTTACATAATGAACAAATCACAGTTATGAAAAAAATACATTTTTTCTGTTGGCTCTTCTTTGCCCTTTCTTTCATTGGCCATTAGGACTAAAACACACAATGGTGGCTGAGGCAGTGGCAGGTATAGTAACTGAAGTGAGTTGTATCATTGTTTATAGTGTGTGTTTCTGGGGAATATTGCTACAAGTTCTTTTGGAAGAAGCAAAACATCTTTTTGCCTTATAGTTGAGCAAAGAAGGGCTTTTAGTTTCCTCTTCCCTTGTAAGAATTGGGGTAAAGAAGAAGCTGAGAAAGATACGATTTATTGGCAAAGGGGGCTTATATTGGCACTTTTTCTTTGAGCGCTGGTTGAACTGAGATGTTTCCTTCTCTGGTTTTATCCTAAGCTCATGACTTCTAACTATCCCTCCCCTTTTTAAGTTCCTTTTTTCACTCTTACGTTATTCTAATATATAAATGAAAACATTTCATGCGGCCCCAGATTGAAACAAAAATAAGTGGTTAAAAACTTAATGATTAAAATAATCAAATTAAACCTAAATAAATTGAGTTAAAAATTAAATCTAGAGGTTTTTGTTATCTGAATCATTCCCCAGGTTGTTTATTCATTAGATTAATATCCTCCCCCCTCCCTCCTTTCCCCCATTTTCTACCCCCATACTCCCAATTCTCTAACTCATTTACAAACCTTGGGGAAAATAGGGATATACTGAGGATTTTGTAAACGTTTCTTTTGTTTGCTTTATATTTATTTATTTTTATTTTTAATAGGTTTAATCTTTATTGTTGAAAGTACTATAGATGCCTCTCCCTTATTTCCTCCATTGGTCCCCTCCCCGAGCCTTCCCTGCCCTATTGTTTGTCCATGGGCTATGCATATATGCATATAAGTTCTTTGATTAATCTCTTCTGCCCTCGCCTCCTTCCCTCTGAAATACATCAGTCTGTTGCATGTTTCATTTTCTCTGGATCTGTTTTGTTCATCAGTTTATTTTGTTCATTAGATTCCAAATATAAGTGAATCATGTAATACTTGTCTTTCTCTGACTGGCTTATTTTGCTTAGCATAATATTCTCCAGGTCCATCCTTGCTGTCCCTCTTTCTCACAGCTGTATAGTATTCCATGGTGTAAATGTACTACACAGCTTTTTTATCCACTCACCTACTGATGGGCATTAACATTTCTTGATGATGAACTGTGTGGTTTATGGTTATGCTTTAACTAATGTTTGTGTTGAGTCCCAACTATAGATGTAAAATTTTTGGATATTTGTATTAGTGAATTTTTATACGAAGTAGGCATAAATTAAAGATGGCGTTGTGCCATACTTACCTGGCAGGGAAGATACCATGGTCATGAAGGTGGTTTTCCCAGGGTGAGGCTTATCCATTGCTCTCCGGATGTGCTGACCCCTATGATTTCCCCAAATGTGGGAAACTTGACTGCATAATTTGTGGTAGTGGGGGACTGCGTTCTCGCTCACCCCCGGGGGAAAAAAAGATGGCATTGTATTTAGATATGTACAGGGTTTCAATAATTTTATCATAAATTATAGGCAAAACAGTTATGAACTATTGGTTGGTTTTTCATAATTGGAACAAAAGCAAAAATGTTTATTCAGAGTGGTGTAACAATTGTTGATTTTGAATGCTAGTTATAAAATGAACATCTGTTTATAAGTAAATCATTGCTTATGTTGATTCTGAGACATGTCTGTTGGAATTTTTGACAAAATATATAATAAAAATAATTTCTTGTTTTAGATTTAATCCATAGAGTTCATTTGCGGGGCTCATTCCAAGTGACCCGGGCAGCATGGGATCACATGAAAAAACAGAATTTTGGAAGGTAGAGTTGCATATGGCTTTCAAGAGGGATTAGAGGTGTGAGTGGGTTCTTATGTACAGGCAATAGAATTGCTTTGACACTGAGGAAAACATCTTCAGATACGTGTGGGCTTTTTATTTTTATTTTTTTAAAAAATATATCTTTATTGATTTCAGAGAGAGAGGAAGGGAGAGGGAGAGAGAGATAGAAACATCAATGATGAGAGAGTCATTGATCGAGCCCGCAACCGGGCATGTGCCCTGACCGGGAATCGAACCCCGATCGCCTGGATCCTAGGTCGACACTCAACCGCTGAGCCACGCCCGGCCAGGCTGTGTGGGCTTTTTAAATGTAGTTTTGGCACATACCCTTTTATTACATTGGTCTTTTAGTTATAGATGAGATGAGCTGGACTGCTTTATGTATTTTTGCACCTCCTACTTTTCATTATTAATGACTTTACTTCTGTTCTGATATTTTAGCAGTACAAACATTGAGGACTTAGATGCACTTTATTCTTTAACCAAAATATCATTTTGTGTATCCAGTGACCAACTGGGGAGAGATGGGTGGCTGTTTCCTGCTAGTTGGTACTTGTGAGATGTGAGTTAGTCTTTATAAACTATTTAGGAGCTGTAGAACTTGCATGGTTGCATCTTTGTGAGTGACTCAGAATGTGGTAGAACTAGTAAGTGCATGAGATTGGGTCACATTATGAGATAGTGTTGTTCTAATATGAGGCATTTAATCTTATCCAGAAAGGGAGAGGGTCAAAGTGGTGAGACTAAAGAATTAGAACTGTTTATCTAATATTTCTTTCTGAAGTTTTCACTTATAAATTGCCAGTTTATTTTATGTTTATAAATGTTTAGTTGTTTTCAATAGGTAATGAATGTACATTTTTACACTTGAATTTATTTGGTTCTGACCTGGAATTCTTTTTAAAACAGTTAAATCTTGTAGTTGAAGTTTGAGAGATTACTTTTATTATTATTATTTAATATTATTTATTTAAAATGTTTACTTATTGATTTTAGAGAGTGAGAGGAAGGGGGAGGGAGAGAGAAACATCATTTTGTTGTTTCACTTATTTGTGCATTCATTGGTTGTTTCTTGTATGTGCCCTAACGGGGGATCGAACCCACAACCTTGGCATATTGGAATGGTGCTCTAGCCAACTGAGCTACTTGTTCATGGCCAAGATTACTTTTATTGATATTATTTTAGATATATGAATTATGACTTAATTCATATGATATATGATATATGATATATGATATATGAATTAATAGCAGTATACAGAGTTGTTTTTGACAGATGTAGTAGTATCGAAAAGAAATGAAAGGCATAGAGTTGCAACATTATCAAATCATAGAAAAGATGATATTGAGGGTTTGATTTTCCTTTTAGGATCATTATGACTTCATCGGCTTCAGGAATATATGGCAACTTTGGCCAGGCAAATTATAGTGCTGCAAAGCTGGGTCTTCTGGGCCTTGCAAATAGTCTTGCAATTGAAGGCCAGAAAAACAACATTCATTGTAACACTATTGCCCCTACTGCTGGATCACGGATGACCAAGACCGTCTTGCCGGAAGGTAAGTGGCTCAGATTTTTCAGTACTATCACCCGCAAATCTGTGTGAAGTGAGCTTTGCAAAAGTATTTAATTTTCTGAATAGTTAAAAATTATTTTTCTTACAGTTTCAAAAAGCATTATGTATAATGGGTGTTCATTATAGAAAATTTAGAAAAGCATAAGGGAAAGTAAAAACGGAGCCATAATTCTACCACACTGAGATAAATTTTTACCCTGTTTCTCTGTATAGGTAAACATACATAAATATACTTTTTACAGAATGAGGTAACTGCTTTATAAAACTGTTACTGTTTTATAATAATAATAAATTTAAAAAATGATTAATAGACTATATTGACCCATTGGTTGTTTATTAGCATGTTGTTTAATCTCATGTGTTTGTATTTTTTTAAATTTCTTCTTGTAATTGCTTTCTAGTTTCATGTTGTTGTGGTCAGAAAAGATACTTAATCTGATTTCATTTTTCCTGACTTTATTAAGACTTGTTTTGTGGCCAAACGTGACCTCTCCTGGAGAATGTTCCATGTGCACTTGAAAAGACTATATTCTTCAGTATTGGGATGAAAGGTTTTGAACATATCAATTAAGTCCATCTGATGTAATATGTCGTTTAAGGCCATGCTTCCTTCTTGGTTTAGTGGTGATGAACTTCTTTAGTTTTAACTTCTCTGAGGAAACTCTCCTCCAATTCTGAGTGATAATCTTGCCCCATAGAGTATTATTGGTTATAAGTTTTTTCGTGTCAGCATTTTGAATATATCCTGTCACTCCCTTTTGGCCTACAAGGTTTCTACTTCTCCTTGTATGTTACAAGTCATTTTTCTGTTGCTATCTTTAAAATTATCTTTTTTTAAAAAAATTTTGTCATCTTTATTATAAATATCTTGGAGTGGATCTCTTTAGATTCATGTTGTTTAGGACTCTCTGTGCTTCCTGAACCCAGATGTCTGTTTTCTTCCCCATGTTAGGGAAGTTTTCAGTGACTATTTCTTCAAGTAAGTTTTCCGCCTCTTTATTCTTCTTGCCCACTTCTGGGGCCCCTATAATATGAGTGTTAGTATGCTTGATGTTGTTCTAGAGGTCCCTTAAACTATCTTTATTATTATTTTTTTCTTTTTGCTGCTTTGATTAAATGATTTTTTCACTATTATGTCTTTAGAATGCTGATCTGTTCTTCTCTATCAACCAATCTATTGTTAATTCCCTGTAGTTTATTTTTTTATTTCAGTTGTTTTCTTCAGCTCTAATTGCTTTTTTCTTATTTTTTTTTCTTTGTTCAAGTTCTCACTGTGTTCTTTCATTCTCCTGAGTTCAGTGAGCATCTTTATGACCATTACTTTGAACTCTTTATCAGGTGAATTACTTATCTTCATTTCATGTGTTTTTGTCTGGGGTTTTATTTTGTTCGGAATGTATTTCTCTACTCATTTTGTTTGACTTTCTGTATTTGTTTCTGTGGATTAGGCAAAACAGCTACTTCTTCTGGTCTTGAAAAAGTGGCCTTGCCTAGGAGTGCTCCCTCTATAGATTGTGTGTGCCAGGTGGTTTTGGCAGGTTGGCTAGAACTGGAGTAGGCGTAGTTCTGGGGAGTCCCAGAATGTGCTCTGTCAGGGCCATCTTGGTGGGATGGCTGGAGCTGGAGCAGGTGCGAGTTGGGGTGTCCTGGGGCACTGCCTTGCTGGGGCTGCCTTGGTGGGATGGCTGGAGCTGCAGTGAGTGTGGACCTGGGGTTCTTGGGGTGCACTGTGTTGCGGTTGCCTTGGCAGAATGGCTGGAGCTGGGGTGTGTACCGTTGGTGTTGCCTTGGTGGGACAGCTAGATATGGAGGAGGCATGGGCTAGTGGTGACCCGGGGCATGACACATCATTTCTACCCTGGCAGGATGGTTGGATCAGGTGCAGGTTGTGTGTGTGGGGGTGTGTGTACCGAGACACTCTTCACTGGGGCCATCTTTGGGGGATGGCTGGTGCTGACGTGGGCCAGGCACTTGGCGAACAGTGGAATGGCCTTGGCAGGCCAGCCAGAGTGCCTGAACTGTGCTCCCGCTCCTGCAATTAAGGTGGAGGAGTGACATGAAAATGATGCTCTTTGGTACCTCTGATCCTGGAGTTTTCACCAGATTGGCAGAGACTCTAGGGTTTGTAAATGGATTTCCTTCACATATAAATTAGGTGCCCTTTAAACTGCTGTTTTCTAACTGTGCCCCAGTGTGGGTGAGTCTGCATGTGGGCCCCTCAGTGATATCCCTACTGCAGGTTTGGATGGGGCCCCCCTCATTACCATGTCTCCGTATCTCCTACCCTTCTCTATCTGGTCCCTCTGTCATTGTTGTGCAGAAGCTGCTCAGTCAGCCTTCAGTTCTTCTTCAGGAGGAATTGCTCTATATGTAGGTATATATTCGAGGTGTTAGTGGGAGGAGGGGAGTTCAGGATTTTCTACACCATCATCTTGGACCCCTATTTTGGTTTCTATTACTTTTTTTATAGCTTAGAAAAAGCTGAAAATTAATTTTGCCCCAGAGCGTTTCTTTTCTTCCTCTGAAATATCCACTTACAGGCTACCAAAGGAATTATTTGTTAAAAACCAGATGTTATGAGTAATATGTGGAGACATTTGCAGTTTTCTTTTTTCTCTTTGAAATATATTTGAAAAATGAAAAGTAATGTTTGTAACTTACATGTTTAGCTACATGAAATAAAACATAATCCTATAATGAATAGCCATGAATTTACTTCCCAAGCTGTATTAGTTATTTACTGCTCTGTGATAAATTTCTCTAAAATTTAATGCATTAAAACAACAAACATTTATTATCTCACACAGTTTCTGGGGTCAGGAGTCTTTAGTGGCTTAGCTGAGAAGTTTTGCTTCTGGGTCTTTAATGAATTGTTGTGTTTTTTTAAAATTTATGTTTATTTTTGAAAGTATTACAGCTAGCCCCCTTTTCGACCCTTTGTCCCCTTTCCCCCCACATGACCATGTTTGCTGGGACTCCAGTCACTTGAAATCTTGTCTGGGTCAGAGAATCCACTTCTAAGCTCATACATGCACGTGACAGTTAGCAGGAGGCCTTCGTTCCCTCCTAGCTGTTATGTGGTGACCTCAGTTTCTCATCATGTGGGTTTCTCCATAGGACTACATTTGGTGTGGCAGCTGGCTTTTCCCAGAGCTAATAATTTGAAAGAGAGAAGCAGCCATGAAAACAGAAGTTTCAGTATCTATTGATTTCGGAAGTGTCCTATTTTATTGGTCACAGAGAACAATCATGGTACATTGTGGGAGGGCACTACAAAAAGGGGTGAATAAGAGGAGATGGGATTATTGGGGCCATCTTGAAGACTAGCTGTCATGCAACCCTCAAATCGGGGCATTACCAATAACTTACCTCTATTTTTGTTATTCTTTCATCCCAACCCCCTTGCTTCCCCAAGATGTAATCACTGAAAGAAAATGATTGGTTTTCATTTCCTTACCATTTTTTCCTTAAAAATATTAAACATATTTAAATATTTTAAAAATTTAATAAATACTTTATTTGGTTTATTTGTTTTGATATTCATAACATTATAATGTACTGTATTTTTGGGAGAAGGAGGAATTTCTCTTTGTTTTTGTTTCACACAATATTATATTTCCAATTTAATTTATATTATGTATAGCTATAGTTCACTCATTTAAAAAATAGTTCTGTAAAAGTCCGTTATGTGAACTTATCAAATTCTTATTAATGGACATCTGGGTTTGTTACCAGTTTCCATTCTTGTTCGTGTGCCCTGAGTCACACGAATAAGGATATTTCTAGGTTATGTACTTAGAAGTAAAATTGCTGAGTTACAGAATATACACATGCTAAATTTGATACAATGCTAAATAATTTTAAAACGGGTTAAGCTGATACAACATTCATCAGTGATTACAGAGTTCTCACTGATCTGTAGTTGGGTTGGGGTTTTCCAGGATCACCCCAGGCTTAGTGAGTCTCTAAAAGAATTCACAGAACTCAGATAAAGCTGTTATACTCATGGTTATGGTTTTTTATGGTGAAAAGATACAGATTAAAATCAGCAAAGGGGAAAGGCATATAGGGTGAAATTCTTGAGAAACTGAGATGGATGCTGTAAAGTGTTGCCAGCCAGGAAAGCTCACCTGAGCCTTGGTGTCCAGGCTTTTTATTGGAAATCAGTCATGTAAGCCTGCAGCTCCTGTGTGATTTACCTCAGCTACTTAGACTCAGAGGAGAAACAGGTTTCTCGGCAAGCCTCATGGTGAGCATAAACCACCTGATCAAATTGGCTCAGCATGGCCCAAGGACTCAGGCATACAGAAACACTCTTACTAGGCCACATATTCCAAAGGCTCAGAGCACCCCTCAGGAGCTGGCCAAGGGCAGCCCTGAAGGCAGAACTTTCTTAGGATTGTGCAGAGTTGAAGCCACCGTGGCCTGCTGAGTGGACCCTTTCTTACACCTGATCCTTCCCAAAACTTGACATTGTTACTATGTGCCAATCTAGTGAGTATAAAATTGTATCTCATTGTGATATTCTCAGGAATTTCACTTACCTCCTTCATTCTGTTTTTTGTTCATAAAATTGGGTTTAATATTAGCTAACCTAGGAGCTTGGAATGTGTTTTGAGTACTGGAAAGCAAGAATATTTACTTTCATTATTAGTAACAATATGTGAAGTAAAGTGCAAGTCAAAAATATTTTTCCTATGTGACATGTTCTTTTCTTTGTTCTCACCTAAGATAATAGTTGGATTTCATCGATGTGTTAATTGTTGCATTCAATACTATAAAGTTAGTCGATTTAAATATCTGAATATATATACATATATCCTTTAACATTCCATTTTGCAATTGATATATATAAAGGAAGTTAGAAGACTGTTATGCATTGAGATGGATGGTATATAGGTTAAGAATTTGTTTTATCACGTCATTTGAGACGGTTGGAGTCTCCCTGTGGTTTTCTCCTCTTGCTTATAACAGAGAGTGGAGAACAGTGTACCATTAGATTTTTTGCATACTTGAGAGCTTTTAGAGGCTGTGAAGTGAAAAGTTTATAGGCACCATAAATGTTATCTTTGTTTAGCATATTAAAATAAAATTATATTTTGTCATTTCACAATTAAAATTTGCACTGTTTGATTCTTTAAACATTATGAAGTATATTAATAAATTGTATCTCAGTTGAGCCTTGGAACAACTTGATGGAATAGACAGGGAAAGCATTTTACTTACCATCTGTGGAGAAGACACATGTCCAGGGGAGCTGAGTGATGCACTCACAGTCCTAAATTGCCTGCATGGCAGGGCTAGCAGTGAAATCCAGATCTTTATACTCCTTGTGTGGTACCTTTCTGCTCTGTTCAATTGCTCACAGAAAGGATGCAATGGGAAAATATTTCTTACACTTAGTTACTCATCAGTAATGTTTGCAAGGTTCATTTCACATCATCATCTTAAATAGCTGCAAGGTTCATTTCACATCATTATCTTACTGGCATTACAATTGTTAAGGCTGTTTTTTCAGTTTTCTAGCTTCTGGTTAAATAGCTTGGATAGCAATATAGTTTGGGGAACGAATGGTACCTAAGTTCCTTAGGTCTTATGTAGCTTTGCTCACCAGTCTTTGTATAAGGCAGCTCTAAATTGACTTCTCCTGAATGGTATGTTACCCATCTTGGGAAGGTATGTCTGATGTATTTAATATTCGAAGCTTGAGTGAGCTTTGGGAATGTCTCTCTTGGGATGGAAAGTTATTTGAAAAGTCCTAAATGTTAGTCTAATTATGTACATCTAATCTTGTCCTTTTTATTTAAATGTCTCTGAATTGCCTATAATTTTATAAGTAAGAAATTTTCAGAAAGTAAAGTAATTGCTTAAATGCATACATACTCTTGTGTATAAACTTTTTTGGGGGTATGTGTTCACTTTAGATATCCTGGAAGCTCTGAAGCCGGAGTACGTGGCGCCCCTGGTCCTTTGGCTTTGCCATGAGAGTTGCGAGGAAAATGGTGGCTTGTTTGAGGTATCTGTACCTTCCTGCTTTCTTTCACAGCAATATTTGTATAATTAAATATAAAAAATTATTTAAAAATTAGTATTTTCCAGTTGCTAACATTTGTAAAAGTCTGCATCAGTTGATTTTTTAAAAATATTATGATTTGTTATAATTAAGGAACTTTTTTGAGAAAGTAGCTGCAACTTCATAAACTGTCCTTTTACTTTGTTCTTCATGTCTGATATTCTTACCAGATAAAAGTGTGGCTGGTTTGAAGTGTGTAGTCCATGTAGACAGTCTTGTTGGGTTCGAGAAGCCCAGTGGTAAGGTTGAAGGATGAGCCTGGGGTTTAGAGGCAGCCAGGCCAGATTTTGAGTTCTTGTTCTGGCACTTGCTGGCCTGCTGGAATTTTGTACAAATTAGCCTCCCTGAGCTTTAGTTTTCTTAGGGTTTTGTTGTGGCAACCAGAAATCATACATTCAGACTGTTAGCATAGAACCTAGTACATAGTACATAGCAGTCACCCCTCTGTTTTAAATATTATGTCAGTATAGCAGGAATTTAGTCTGGGTGTGATAGATCAGTAACCACAACTTACTGTTTATCTTAACTTGAAAAACAAACTCTTCTCTTTTTCCTTGTTGCAAAGCTTGACATGTTTATTGTAGAAATGAAAACCATGTATAGTTCCACCATCCGTTGAGACCCGTAGTCAAAGTCCTTTTAGATCTCTTTATACCACTTTATACATTTTTTATTTCTCATTAGAGTTTGATCTCTTTTCCTTTCTAGCATGAACTGTTACATTTTACACTCCCCCTCCATTCTTTTATTTGATTGTGGTAATAACAAACCTGTTGTATGAGGAATACAATGATACCCAAAAATATTTCTTGGTAGCAAAATAACCTGACTCAGTTTGAAGTGAATAGTATATTAGCTGGTTCATTTGAATAAAAAGCTGATAAGTAAGTAAAAAACAGTCTATACATGTTTAAGCAGAGACATATGCCTCTACTTTCTTAATCACAACATTGTGAATTGTGGAAAATCAGAGGTGGAAAGAACTTGACCACCCTAAATTAACAGAGGAGGAAAATATAATAATTTGAAGCTCAAAGTGTTGCCTGCCTGTTTTTTATCTCATTAGGGAATTTTTAAAAAAACCTTTTTATCTTTTACAATTGTTTATTATTAATTCTAGGAACAAAAATAATATATGCTTTTTATAGACAGTTTCAAAAATATGGGAAAGTATATAGAAGAAAAAAATTACCCACAGTACTGTTTAGAAATAACTACTATTAATATTCTTATGTATTCTCTTCCAACCTTTTATTAGATGTGTATTTTACACTAATAGTCATTTTCAGATACACATTTTACACACATAAACTTACACAGTTAGGGTCATGTGTGGATTAAGCTTTGTATGTTGTTTTCTTTTACTATACTGTGAACATTTTTAGTGAGGAACATTTAGCGTGCATGATTGATAAAATATAGTAAGAAAAGTTCTTCATTTCTTCATATGTGTGTGTAAATCCTGACTTAAACCTTGGAAGTAAATTGCCACTTTACTTGCAAAGTCCTAATAGATAACTGGAATGGCAGATACAGAGTCTTTTGCTCAGCTGAAGCTCTTGTTTCTAGCACCTGAGAGGAGCTTATAGTCTGTTGCTTCACTCCCAAAATATGGTAAAAGATGATACTTCTTTTGACTGTTACCAAAACCACTGCTGCTTTATCTACTCTGACAGTATCAGGGCTGATGGTCTATTATAAAAAGTGTAGGCATATTAATATAAAGGCAACGGGTGATTGAAATGTCATACCATTGAGTCTTTACCCACTAAGATGTGTACTGTCTACTGATAAGTTTTCTTCTGTCATATGCTTGTGGAATTCTCGGGATGAATCCTGGCACATTGAGTTGTGGTATTTGAAGACATGACAAACAGGTTTTCTTTACATCTAGCATTTTCTTCTGACGCTATCTTCGAATGGCCTCTAAAAAAAAAAATTATCTTTCTGTGTGGCAGTTAATATATTTGGTCATTTGCTTTACCTTTATATAAAGATGTTTTTTAAAATGACTATAAGTAGTTCATTAAGTCAGATCCTGGTTTTATTTATTTTTTTGCTTTTAATTTTTTTAACCAATAAGACCTTTCTAGAGGAACATATATTTCAAGCCTGTGATATGCTAGACAGTTTTACTGTTTATATTGTTTAACCTTCATGGTTACCTCAAGAAGAGTGTATTACTATCCTTATTTTACCTAAGTGGAAACTTGAATTTAGGGAAGTCAAATAATCTGACCAGGGTAATACAGCTAGTCAGTAGAAGAACTGGCATCACACCTTGGTTTCTGACATCGGAGTCGTGCTTTTCTACTATATGCGTTTCTCCTACATTCTGCTTTATATTTCTAGTGCGACAGCATGAACAGTGCAGTCATGAGGGCCAGTGGATTTTTGTAGAGCTGTATTGTTTTATCCATTGTCACCTGCTATTCTAATATTCTTAGTAAGATAGCTGCCTTCTTTTTTAAATTTAAAATTTCTTTTAGTGATTTCACATTAGATGGTGTAACTTTTTCCCCTCTTTTTGGTAGGTTGGAGCAGGATGGATTGGAAAATGTAAGTCTCTTTTGCCATACATTATTTCCATATCTTTAAACCTGCATATCTGATTAGAGCTGGATAAAGACTTGTCAGATGCCTAACCATTGGACCTAGTTTACACAAACTCAAACTCAAACATTGTCATACCAACAGGTATTCTAAAACCTGGCAGTTGTCCTGCAGACCTGTGTTACTTTCTTTCTGTTGGCTGTCCTTATTGAGCATTTGCCCTTTCTTATTCAGAACTGGCTCTTCCTTCAGACAGCACAGTCTCTATGTTGATGTCCTCCCAAGTCTCTGGCAGGACTGTTTTTGAAAAATGGGAAGAGCCACAGCAGGCACGTTCTCCAGTTCTCTCATTTAACTGTTTTCTTCCTTGGAGCTTGAGACATCAGGAGACAGTGAGGAGTCACATGGACAATTTTGTGGGACAGAAATTGCAACTGATCTGTAGAAATTATTCCCCTTCAGCCCAATAGTAAATTCATTTGGCTTCAACTCTCTCGTACCCTAGCCCTTAAACCTTGTGAACTCCAGATTGGATAATTGCTTTGAAGCGTATTTTAAAAATTGTAAAAGTTCCTGTATCCCAATTTTTGTTTTCAGTTGACAAGTGATATCAAAATTAATTGACTTATTTAAAAGGCTACCATTACTAGAGGGCATTGTTTCAACATGTTATAGACTATCAATATTTTCATCTGTTCCCTCCAGTTATTAAGTAGATTATATTACTTAAGCATTTTTAAGTGTCTTATGATATCAGTTTAAAAAAGGAAGACCAATTGTTAGAATAAAAGCTATATCTGGGACTTTATCAATGTGAAAGCTCTAGAAGCAGTCATTTCTGTCATTCTCCAAGATAGATCGTCAGTTGAATAATGATCAGAGTCTGACCATTATGTTTAAAAAGGTTACTAGTGGTTGTTTATTCCTCAGTCTCGTAAAAAAGAAAACAATGCTAATTTTCCTCATGGGACTTATGCAGCAGTAAGGATGTTTGTGACTTCCTATGGAAAAGGAGGAAGAGCAAAGGGAGGAAAAGGGGGAATTATTTGGGACTTATCTGATACGGTATTTGGTCATCTGGAACTTTTGATCTGTTACCATCATTGGTCCTCAGTTTGCTATCCAACAAAGCTCTGCTCTGTTATCTTGAAGTACATTCCCTGAGTGATCTGTGGTCATGAAGTCAGTTTTTTTGGCATGATGTGTAATTTAACTTTTTCTGATTTAGCATTTTATAATGTTTTTAGTAGTGTCTGGTATAGTCAGGAAAAGGTTTTCCCTTCAGTTTCAAATATATATTTTTTTAAATTGAAATTATCTTAATGGGTTTGCTATTTTAGGGAAAGTGCATTTTAAGGCATGTAGTAAAATTCTTTAGAAGTTAGAATCCTTTTTCTGAATTTCCTTTTTCTTAAAGTTAAAAAAAATTCAAGGGGCTCTTATGAATTTTACTTTCTGTCTCCATTTAAGCTAGGTGCTCAGTATCATAGTTTTGTTTCTATAACTAGTGCGCTGGGAGCGGAGCCTTGGAGCAATTGTAAGACAGAGGAATCAGCCGATGACTCCTGAGGCAGTGAAAGCTAACTGGAGGAAGATCTGTGACTTTGAAAATGCCACCAAGCCTCAGAGAATTCAAGGTAAAGAGTCCCACTTAGTCCAGTCCTGGTAGGGGAACTAGAGGCAATCTTCTCTCATGGAATTGCTTTCTATTTTAACTGTGGTGACCTAGACACTTGAATTGTCTAGAGTTTTCTGCTCTTGTACGTATTAGAACTCTTCAAATTTAAGATACGTATGTCACTCCCACTGTCCGTTTTTCAGTTATTTTATAGTCCTGCTTTCTTGGTGTATGTATGGTTGTGGGATGGTATGAGGTAAGTTAACCATTTGTGCTTAATGCATCTACTCCTCATCTGAGTTTGGTTTCAAAGTCTTCCGTTATCTAACCACATGCTCCTTACCAGACCTGATTTTGCTTTGTTTCCCAAAAGGGTTATTTAGGCCTGTTTTATTTAGGCTTAGCTCTGTTGTGTCTAGTGAATAGATTTGCTGTTTTAGCACTTTGTCTTTGCCACCATTTCTCTGTTTTTCTAAAATGCCCCTTCTTCCTTTTATTAGTATTCTTTAGAAAAACTCAAGCCCCAAATGTCCAACAGAACCTCCCCAGGTATTCTGGGCTACACTGCTCTCTTTGTTAGCCGAACTCTTACCCTGGAGCACCTAACCATTCCTGCTTTCCACTGCTTTTGTTTCATAACTATGTGGTTTCTTAACTGCATAGTAAGTTCCTTTGGAGGCAGAGACTGTATCTTGTATGTGCTTCTTTTGTATTTGGTGCTAGCATAGTGCAGAAAAGGTTTATTAAATGCTTGTTACCTTGAATTTTTGAATCATCTATGATATACCACAGTAGATAACCAATAGAAGTCACATTATTTTTTCTAGTATAACTCACATGTGCATATAGTATATAAAATTTAAAGGACCTTTCTGGGAAAGATCATGAAACAGGGTTATTTTACAGGAAACTTTTTTTCCTCTTAGTAATTTTTTATTTAATGTTTGATAGAAGAATATATCTGAAAAATGACTTCTGTTTATTTTTCTTAATGACAATTTGCTGCCTTCTGGTACATGCACTGAAATTTTATTATGCTTTTCCTCAATCAGATAATAACATAATTGTTATGTCATTAGTGGTAGCATTTTCTGTATTCTGTATTTTGATATTTAAGATAAATTTAGTCTATCAGTAACAGTTGCCTACCAATGAAAATGAATGAAAGAAAAGGAAGAAATATATTAAAAACTTCCCTCTGATGTCAAAGTTCCATTTATTGCCTTGAAAGTATTAGACTAATATAAAGAAAAAGCTAACTAAATGAATTATAAATGACAAAGATATGTCTAGTATTTGAAGTACAGTTAGAAGAAAAAAATCTCGTATTTTAATAGAATCGAGACTTTCTAGAGCACCTGCGTATCTCACTTCTCATTTTATAGATGATGAACTAAATCCCAGGAAAACTAAATAACTGGTCTAAGCTTTCCCAGTGTTTGAGCCAAGAGTTAACTCAGATTGTCTGTCTCTGAGTGCAGTACTTCCCAGCCCTCATCAAGGTGATTTTCAGTTACGTAGCCGGCAGCTGAAGGGCTGGGCAGCCGTCTGAGCGCGGAGGTGAGGGCAGGATTAGTGGGAAGAAGCCTCTCCACTGATGGCTTTCAGCAGTGGCGGATGTCCCTGGTCACCTCACATTCTGTAGTTGGTTGTAGGTTTTCTCTGAGTTGAGAAGGAGGTCCATCCCTCTAAGGTTTGTTAGAAAGGTCCCAGAGCCTTCGGAATCGTATGGCATATGTGGCTGCTCCAGGAGTCTCCTTTCTTAACCTTTTAGACCCCAGAACAGCAGTTTCCAAAACCTGTCTGGAGTCACTGGTCAGAATGATGGTTTTCTCTGGAAGAATTTTCAGTACTAGCTTCAGAGGTACTACTTGTATAGAGACCTAGGGGTAATCTTGGCACTGTTCTATCCTGGAGAAGGGGTGACGGTGGGCAGAGAAGGGAAATTAGTTTTCCCTCCACCAGACAGAAATTGCATGTCTGTGGACAAGGATCCCACTTTACAGGGTTGTAAAATTGCTCAGACGTTGCAAAGCTCAGAGCCTCCTTAGGATCATAACCTGGGAAGAGTATGGTGACAACGTTTTGTTTTCCATTGAAAACACCCAGTTATGTGTGGTCTATTTCAGTCTTTCACAATTTCCCCCCTAATAGCCTGACATCATACATTCAGTTCATGAGTGCCAGTCAAGAGTCTGCAGCAGGCTTGCTGAGTGTTATAGGAATAATCACCTACCAGTGTACTGCGGCAGGCACACCAGCGTGCCACAGGAATTTTTAAAACATGCTCTACCTGACTATTTAGTTAGGAGCACTGACCTCTTTTCCCTTAGACCATTAAAAAAAGTAACAACAGCCAACACAATAATAGCCATCCAGTGTGAATGAATCAAAATTATACCTGGTTTTTGTTTTTTTTTGGTTAGATTGGCAAAAAATATATTTTTGGTGTGCCACAGAATTTTAGCAATTAGTTTTTGTGTGCCATGAGATTAAAAAGGTTGAAAATCACTAATCTAGCACATTGTAGCTTTCCTTCGTCATATCTTTAACAAAAGCATTATTGTTATTATTTTTTTAGAATCAACTGGTGGTATAATCGAAGTTCTAAGTAAAATAGATTCAGATGGAGGAGTTTCAGCAAATCATACCAGCCATGCAGCAGCAAACGCCACATCAGGATTTGTAAGTGGGGAAAAGTGCCTGCAGCTGCGCGTCTCATTTCTTCTTCTTTGTTCTTTTCTTTCATACAAAAAATTATTTTCCAAGATATTAATCAATGTATTGTTAAATAGGAAAAATAAGTGACCACAAACTTTTTATAAAATATGTACTAAATAGTTATAGAATTTGAATGAACACAAGGCTAAGATATTAAATGTAACCTTTACTTTCTCTTCTTCAGTATAATTAGACAAGTGCCTTTTTTGTTTGTTTGAGAATCATCATAATCCCTCTTTAGTCACTATTTTTCCAACTTTTTAGAAAAGGCTAGTTTATTTTAGTGCCTCTGCTGAGTCATTTCTTATAAGGGGAAAGCATTGATAGAATGTACAGGTTCTGGAAATATTTCATCATGACTACAAATAAAAAGCCTCCCATTATGGCAGAAATTCTAATAGCATTGTGGTTATAGCCCATGTGAAGTTTGCCGATTTACAACCTTTTGTACTTATCCTATAAAAAAAACTTGTAGCGCATAAATAGTAAGAAGTAGATCATTGGACATGTTTGTTTTTGGTGTCTTGTGACTCAGGACAGACATAGTGATAAAATTAGCCATCTAATTTTAACCCTGAGAATGTGATCAGTTTATAAGTGTGATTTTACTTTAGGATAGGGGTTGGCAAACTTCTTTGGTAAAGGGCCAGATAATAAATATGTTAGGCTTTCTGGGTCACATACTGTTTCTGTCACATACTCTTCTTGATTTTCTTGATTTTAACCATTCTTTAAAATTGTAAAAACCATTTTTAGCTCTCAGCCATTGTTTGGCGATTCCTGCTTTAGAATGAACGTGATTGAAAATTGGGTATCATTCTTTTATAACCTAATATATGCTTCACACATTAGCTAGGCATATCATCACTAAATAGAAAAATACAATATCCAGTTAAAGAACATTCCTAGGAAGGGACTTCAGGAAAAATCTCATTTTAACTAAAACCATTAGGAGGCAATCTAATTTACAAGCATTAAGCAGTGTTTTGCTCAACTGTTTATAGTGAGTTTTTATATAATAGATATTATAGGCATTTCACTATTCCTATTTATAACAAATTTGTGGTTTTTTCATTTTTATTTTTATTTTTGAGTAGCTAATAGTTGCTGAATTAACAGGGCTTTCCAGCATCAGAGACAGGAAAGTTGAAAATGAGACATACTATCTGTTAGCAAGAAGCAAGCAATAAAAAAATACTTATCTGTAAATGAAGTACTTTTCCACACATTATCTAATTGGTTTCTATTTAAAAAATCAAATATAATGAAACTATTGTAATACGCTATCAAATTCACTAAAGTAATGTTTTAGTCACATCTTTTCAAAAGCAAAAGTAGGTATGTAAGCAATGAATAGTTTTAAAAAGTTAAAATTTTAAAGATTTTACCAAAATAAGTGCAAAAATAATTTCCTACAATTGTCCTGTAGGTTGAAGCTGTTGGCCATAAACTTCCTTCATTTTCTTCTGCTTACACGGAACTGGAAGCTATTATGTATGCTCTTGGAGTGGGGGCATCGATCAAGGAACCGAAGGATTTGAAATTTATTTATGAAGGAAATTCTGACTTTTCCTGTTTGCCTACCTTTGGAGTTATTATAGCTCAGAAATCTATAATGGGTGGAGAATTAGCAGAGATTCCTGGGCTTTCAATCAACTTAGCAAAGGTATTTTTTTTCTGTTTCTTTAAATGATTGGTAAATATCATATCCTTTTGTGTTAGTATGTGTGTATGTATTAATAAAACTGTGTATAATGGTTGATTCCGGAATAAAGAGTTAGCATATCCTTTGATTTTTCTTTTTAAGAATAACAGAGAAGAAGATTAGTTGAAAAGGGAAACAAAAAGAAGAAAACAATCATGTTCAGTCCCACAGCCCTGGCATGTTATTAATTCTCTCTCTGCCATTTACTTGCTGTTTGATTAAGGGTAAACAGCTTCTCTAATCTTGTTTCCTTATCTACAAAATGGATATGATAATCCTTATCTGATGATATTGCTGCACTGAACTTACAAGAACTAACTTTATTAGAGTATTTCATGAAGTTGGGAGGGAGGTGAGAAATGTGCGCCAAGAAGTTTGTAGTTTTAGTCACTCTCTTGTGGTAGTTGCTGCAAACAGTTCTTCCGTTTGCCTAATGTAAGAGCAAACAAAGCACATGTTTCAGAATGTCCCTCAGAGTTGAAAGGAGTTAGAAATCATAAATAGTGTTTAAAATCTGTGGTGGGAATGATAGTTATCTTGGAATTTGAATCCCAGTCTTCCCAGCCTTGAGTTTCCAGGCCATGTGATACTGTGAGGCAGTCCTTCATCTGTCCTCTAGCACTGCCAGCCCTCTAACCCCTGTTTTTCCCTTCTGGGTTCTGAGGAACACTGGGAATTAATCTTCCCCCTGGCAGTAGAGTGTGGTCATTTGGGTATGTGGGCCAGGTTTTGTTTTTCCTGTCCTGTTGTTTTTCTGCATATATCTGTGTATTCGTGCTTTGATACATGGAGGTTAAGTGGCTATGAAGTTACAGTGTCCTTAGTATCTACTGTTTGTAGGTAATGTACACGATGTTATACTAAGGAAATGTTGGCATTGATAGTGCTTTTATTTTGAACATAGTTTTGAAGGTTTATGTTTTGGTCAAGTTGTTTATATTTGGTATGTGTGACCTGAAATTACTTCACTAGCAGTGGCCAGTTTGTTCATATGCATTGAACAGGTATTTGTTGGATACCCAGTGTGCTCCAGGCACAGCGATAAGCACTGGAAGTGGGGCTTAGTTTAGTTCTCCATTGGCAAATAATCCATAATCATCAGTCAACAAGGATTTATGAATGTCAAGAAAACACAAATATAAGATATCTTCTTTTCCAAAAGACAGTTTTTAGATTGGGGGACTGATTATTTCTGAATGAGTCATGTGATTAAGAAGTAGAAGCCAAACTGAGACCATTAACTTGGGGGAAGTAATGATGTGAGCACGCGGACAGGGAAATGTCACTTTTGATTAGCTGTATCAACTGGCAGAACCCGTGGAGAAAGAAAGTGTGCTAATAAAATTTTGCTTATTCTAACATAGATTCTTCATGGGGAGCAGTACTTGGAGTTATATAAACCACTTCCCAGAGCAGGTGAGTTCTTGATACACTGATTCCATAACCACACCATAATCTTATTTTTTGACTAACCATCCAACCTGTTTCAGTGTGTCAAATTGGCACAGAGTGAACTAACTAAAACATGTCACAGGTTATTTATGTGCGCGTCAGCCATTAGAGTAGGGTGATGTTAACTAGTATCTGCTTTGGTTATCTTGGACTTTGTCCTTTAATAGTCTCATTTCATTAATTGTTGCATAATGTTAACAATTTACGTCTGTTGATGTATGTGTTACTGACAATGGAAAGGAGGATTTTTGTGCATATGTTCTCAACTTGGTGATTGTGTATAATCAGTTACTATTCCTGTTAATACGGTTTTTCATTCTTTTCTCAGGTGTTTATGTTGGTGCTGATTTTCATAAAGCAAACCGTGTTAAGAGATACAGAATTTTTTGTATCATAAATAATCAATTTTATTTTTCTCAGTAATATCTTACTTGTTTAGTCAAGCTTCTCTTTTTCTTTAACTGTAATTTGACATATTTGTTTTGTTTTGCTACTTTGATGTCAGAATATTGTCTAATTGTATAATGATCATATAAGATGGTAAAATACAAAAAAAGCATTTGTCATTTCACATTATATAATGTAGAGGTCAGCAAGTAGGTAGAATCCTACTTTAACTTTTTCCTCAATCATCTTCTTTTACTAACGAGATTATGAGATTCTTATTGCTTAAGGCTGAGTAGCTTTATTTCAGTGTTAGTGTTACAGCCTAAGTTTCGCTCAGCTCTTTTTATCTGAAGCAGTGCACAGTGCGTGATGACCGCATTCATCAAACATCTCCTGTCACCTATTAGTACATTATATCATAGTACCTGTTTTTTTAAATAAAACATAGATTCTAGATTCCAACCCAGGAGATTTTGTGTGCATACCTGTGTCATGTGGGCATGGTGTGGTGGCGGCGATGGTGGAGGCTAGGAAGCTCCCTATATGTTTTTATGCAGCCAGCCTAACATGAGTTCATTTGGGAACCAGTGTTCAAGGGAAGAAGAAATGTGTATGACAGGTTTCAGCCTCTAGGGATTTTAAATGTGAAGAGAGAGATTAGACATATTCAAAAATGATTGCAACTGAAAAGTGCTTTCCATAGGAAGATGTGGAAAATACTTATCTTAATTTCTTTTACCTCCTTAGCCTCAAGTTGTTTCTCATGGATTATGAATTATTTTTCTTCAGTAGCTCCTGTGCATTTTCTTTAAGTAGTTTTAAAGCTTACTGTCTAGTAAATATAAATATTTAAAATTCAGGATAGTTATGGTTAGGAACCTCTTTAAAAAACTGCAGAAAACCAAGGTTTAACTAATATTTATAATATCTCCATAAAACACACCAGTTTATGAGACATAGGACCTCAAGCATCGGGAGATTGATGTCAACATCTCTTCATCTCTAGTAGCTCATTTGTTAGCAACAGTGGTGCCATCATAGGCTGATTCACCGCTCCTTGTGGCAAAAATGTAAACATAATTAGATGGAGTGCAAGAAACTTAATAGCAGCACTTTATTTTCCATCGTGAACTGGAACATGTACTAGTCCAGGATATACTAGTTTCTAGATTTTCTGGGTTAAAATGGTTCATCTTTATTGTGTTTCTACTTGATATCTTTCTTTTTTGCACTCACTACTTTCTCAAGGTAATTTCTGTTCTTAGGGCAAAACAATACTGTATTTCATCTGGAAAGTGAGATTGATGATGTTACCAATCTTGAGCCTCTGGCAGGGAATATGTAACTGTCAAATATTAGTATATTCAAGTGTGCTTGTGAACTGTTAAGCATTATGTAAATGTAATTATTATGCTGCATTTCCCAAATAAAACCTCATGGAGTTGTGGTTTTGATTGTTAGGATAGATTTAACCTTTGCCTCCTGAAGCACTGATGTTTAAGTATATTTTAATAAAATTAAAAATAACGTTCTCATTGTAGAAAATTTGTAAATTATAGAAAAGTAGAGGAAGAAAACCTTTGTCTAATAATTACTCATTCACTCAGGGAGCATTTATTAAATGTGCTTGTCACTTCCCCATTAAAACCCCAGATGGCTATTCATAGACTTAAGGATGAAGTCAAAACTCTTAGTATAGTCCAACTTCTCCCATTCTCCGTGTACTCAAGTGCAGCCATTTACTTGGACTCTGTTTTATGAGTCAGGGGTGATGCTCCAGTTTCTGGCTTGGGCAGCTGGGTAGATAGTACCATTCATTCATATAGGGAACGAAAGAGAAAAGCAGGTTTGAGAAAAACATGAGCTCACCCCAGACAATGATGATCCATCAGCACATCAGCACTTAAATGGTGGAAAGAAGAGTCCATAAGGTACAGCATGATTAAAGAGAAACGGTGTTTCATTGAATCCAGTAGAGTGGGGATTGAGAAGGAATGGGGTAAATGGCATTGGTCGTATGCTTAACAAATGTTTGCTGAATGATTGAAAATTTTTATTTCTTAAAACCTAATTTATCAGAATTATTGGTGTTTCAAATGTAGTGACTCAGGTATTCTGCCTGCCTTTAATGTTGAATTATTCAACATTCTATTGGAAATTATTTCAAACCATAATTTTTAGTCTCATTGAATTTACGGTAGAAATTATGTTAAATTCTCTCACATCTTAATATAATAACTTATTGTTTTTTTAACACAGTCTGTTTACTTATGGTCTTTAAAACAGTCTATTTACTTATTTGTTTTACTTTTCATTTTAGGAAAATTAAAATGCGAAGCAGTTGTTGCTGATGTCCTAGATAAAGGATCCGGTTTAGTAATTCTTGTGGATGGTAACTCACTTCCAGTTCTTTTAATGTTGTTAGATTGATAGGTTTAGTGCCTTAGAAAATTAGGGAGGAGGGGGAGGAGTGGATTGGGGTGAAGGTCGGGAGAGTGAGGTGCTTCAGGGGGTTTGAGACAGTATAACCAAAGCACGGGAGAAGTGTAGCTGGTTTGGGGAACACGGAGGAGAGTTACACTTGCTGGTGTATGTTTTTGACAGGAAGGAACACATAGCCCTCAGTTGATAATTAGGCAGTATTGTAGAAATTCTTTTCTGTGTTAGCTTTTTGGAACTTGGAACACATTTGACCACTGAATCATTCTTATAAATGGTCGTTAAATTTCTAACCTTGCACATTCAAGCCTGTTGAACTCACAATGTGGTTTAAACACCGTAGTCACATTTTATTTGCAGTGGGAAAAAATATTATAGTAGCTTAATAATTGTGGAAATACTAGTAATTAAACATAAGCAACAGATACATTGTTTAAAATTTATTTTAAAGTTTAAGGACAAAAGAAATAGATACTGTCAAAAATTTTAGAAATAAAGGACAGTGGAAGTTTAATATTGTCTGATACTTGGAAGACAGGCTGTACCATTTTTGTTCTAAATGCATAGGAAGGTATACTGTATATGTCGGTTTGGAACTTGCCTTGTTTTCACTTAATAATATATTGAGAACATTTTGATGCTCTTAAATATTCTACTACATTGTTTTTGTTAAACTCATAGTATTTCATCATATGTTGGTTATCTCTCCTCTTCCTCGCTTTCTTGTCTTCCTCTTCTCTTCTTTTTTAGATTTTCATGTCATTCCAGATGTTGGGCAGTGTTTGGCTGTAATTCTCCCAGTTTTCTTTTAGTCTTATCACTGTCCTACCAAATATAATATACCACGAAAGTTCTGCAGTAACCTTAGCTTTAATTTTTACTATTTTCTCTTGACCTCCATTTATTTAACTGTAGCTTGGTAATGTGTAATAATGTATTATAATTTGTAGATAAAGTATAAATGAAATTTGATATCCAGTTTCTTATGTAATAAACACAAAAATTTTATTTTAAATACAAATTCTATGACCTTATTTTTTGTTATAATTCGATTTTCCCTTTAATGCAGTTCAAAATCATATTCCTAGTTTTCTAGAGCTGGGAGATACAGATAATACTCAAACTCACTAGCGAATTAGTCAGTAGAAAGGAGGACAGCTGTCTTACATTCACTTATTACTTGCTCACCTCTTCCCTAATTTGCTCACCTGTCGTTTAGTCATTGATTCATTAATTAATTTAATAAATCTTTATGTGGTGCCTTTTCTGCCCCAGGTACTATTCTAATTGCTGGGAATGTGATGGGGAGCAAAGCAGCCATGATCCTGCCCTCCCGGAGTTTATACCTCCATTCTCACTTAGTTCCTCTTTTACACCCAGGCTCTTTTTGAGCTTTGGCAGAATGTTTGAAAGTTTGAGTGTGAGATTACCTGTGCTTTATAGTGGGATTGTTTGAAATGTTTGAGATGGAGAGAACTGAAATATGAAAGTTGGGGAAGTTTAAAAAGAGGAGAGAGAGCCTGCTATTTCATAGTCAAGAAAGGATTTGTGGACATTTCCTCTTCCTGGAACTGGTCTGCCTTCCAGGAACTGGTAGTGAGGGAATTAAAATGAATGCTTTATAGCCCAAACTTAAGCATCTTTAAATTAGAAAACCTTTTAGTAATTGGATTTTGTTTTTTAAACTTTTAAAGGAATTGTTGATCATATATTGGTTAACTAGTTATATCTTTTGGTAACTTAAAACTTTTTTTTAAATTTTTCAGTCTATTCTTATTCTGGGAAGGAACTTATATGTTATAATCAGTTCTCTATATTCCTTGTTGGCTCTGGAGGCATTGGTGGAAAACGGACGTCAGACAAAGTCAAGGTACACTGTGGCTTTATAAGCAAAATATATGTGTAGTTAAAAATCCTTATCTATGTTTTGAATTTACCATTTTATCATATGTGTAATTTCATGGAGTAGAGGCTTAGTAATCCATACTTTTTTTGAATCAGAATATGTTCCTTGGATTTGAAATGCTGGTTATGTTTGTATATTTGAATATATAATATATGTTACATATAGCAAAGTGTGGCTGTGATAAGTATAATGTACCTGAGATAATTATGGATATATTTTTACTCTCTTATACAAACTTTACAGCACCCACAAGTCTTTAGAAAAGCCTAACACATACAAGTGATTCTTGTGGAAATTTAAATCTTTATTCATTAAATAACTTTAAGCATTTATCTTGTGTAAAACAATTCTAGTTATTGTTTAGTTTTCAAATTCTGTTTAAAAGCATATATTTCCTAAAAATATTTTAGAACTTGGATTTTACACTAATTTAACCTGGCCTTTACCTCTAATTTATTTGAGGTAATAAGATTATACTGTAACCAATATTCTTGTAGAGTAAATAAACTATTATTAAAGCAACATTGAGAGATTGCTTCTGGAATGATGGTGTGGGAAGTTCTTTGGACCCTTTGCCCAGTGAAACAATCATAACTGGTAAATCTGTAAAAAAAAAGAAAGTTTAAAATTTCTGGGAATTATCCTAAGGGAATTAGCAAATGAAGAAATATCTATTCAAGATGGTAAGAACAGTGAGAATCTGTGGCATTTGAGCCACAACTCTCCTTCCTTTCTCTTTCCCTGGTTCAGCAGGATAGACGCTCCACCCAGGCATGTGCAGCCAAGAATCAGGGTCCCTCTGCCCTCAGCTCCCAGAATAGAGCCATGCTGTCTTCCCAGGAGGAGCAGGCCACTAGTTTTTGTCATTCCCTCACCAGCTTGTGATGCAGAAGCCCCGTTCCGGAACCGGTGAAAGTGGCTAAGAGTTATGGGCTGTCTTCCTCTGACCACCCCCAGCCCCAACCTGTAGGGTGTAAACTCTGTTCTACCCAGGGCAGGCTGGGTAATACTGGGGCCTTGGCCTCTCTTGCCCCAGCTTGCTCATAGAGTGGGGGTTCCATGTTGAGAGAGGCAAGCTGAAAGGCCAGAAGTTACTCACCCTGTCCAGCACTCTTCTTGTAAAGTGAGGGTATTACTTGGAGGAAAGTGGACCACTCTTTGCCCTCACCTCTGCTGCAGTGGTACAGAGTGTTTACCCAGGGGCAGGGCAGGCTGTAATAAGAGCTCTGAAGCTCTTCCCAAGGAAACAGACTCATTTTGGAATAGAGTATTTGGAAGTTTAAAAGTAAGGGTGCTTTCAAAAATAAGGTTACTTTAGTGATAAACAATCAAGAAGAGGCTAATAGCTCCATGAGAACAGTAAGTTAAACTAGCCCAGGTTTAAGTTTACTAGAGAGAACCACAGAATGAGACAGCTAAGTAGAGCCCTCATGGGTTCATAATACATCTAAGACTGGCCTCAAAGACTAATTACTAACTACCCCTGTAAAGACATCTGACTTTAATTTGGTCATGCCTTGGAGCAATTTATCCCCCAAAGCATTGTTGAAAATAATAGAGCAGTCATCTGGCAGTTAGTGGAGCCCATCAGCTGGGTGTGATACCAAACGAGTCAGTTGAACACATTAGGGAGAGAGGGCCCTGTTCAGACCACTGCCATCCAGGGTGCAGCTTGCCCAAGGCTGCACCCTCTGAGGAGCAACATTAGAGGCTGCACAATGTGGAAGAAACAGACTTAACTGAAATAGTTTAGCCAAGTCGTTAAATTAATTAACAAGTTAATAACAAGCTCTGAAGGGAAGGGTGATTAGTATCCAGAGCTACTACAATATATTGTCTAAAATGCCCAGTTATCAGCAGAAAATTATAAGACATGAAAGAAACAGAAGAGTGTGACCCACAGATAAAAAGAAAACAAAACTGGCAACAGAAACTGCCTTTCAGAGGATTTAATAATAGACCGAGGCTTCAAAGCAGCTATTATGTGTTCAAAGAACTAAAGGAAACATTGCTTATAGAAGTAAAGGAAAATATGATGACAGTGACTCAAGAAGTAGAGAAAAATCAATAAATAGAAAACAAAAAATACCAACTAAACAGGAATTCGGGAGCTCAAAGTACAATAACTGCAATGAAGAATTTTCTAGAGGGTCTCAACAGTAGATTTGAACTCGCAAAAGAAAGAATCAAAAAGGTTGAAGATCTCTCTATTCCATCTATCTATGAATATCTGTCTGAAGAACAGAGAATTGGTGAAGGAAAGAACAAAGAATGAAGAGCCTCAGAGAAACATGGGATATCATCAAGTAACTGGAGGACCAGAACAAGAGGAGAGAAAAGCAGAAAAAAATAACCGAAGGAATAAGACTTTGATGAAAATCATTACACATCTAAGAAGTTCAGCCAACTCCAAATAGGCTATAAATGCAGAGAGATCTTAGTAAAGTGCATTTAAAGATTAAATAAATTTAGATGTGAATTGTTTGTCTAATTTTTATAGTGGTCATCTTCTACATTTGGAAAAGTCTTCATCTTTTTCTCCTTCGTGACCTAGAGAATAGATCTGCTTATATAATTCCTTTCATACACAGGGATATCATAATGTAGATGAAGCTAGCAGTTATGAAATTTTAAATGTCATTATCTCATGAACATAAAATATTAAAAATCTGTTAATCCAGCTTGCAGATTTTGTTATATTAAAACATGGTTGCTTATCAAATACCAGCTTGGGTAAAGAGAATAACAGTTCCTTTGTTCGTATTTAACATAATGTTTTTTGATTTCAGGAAGCTGTACCCGTACCTAATAGACGCCCTGATGCTGTACTTACAGATATCACCTCACTTAATCAGGTAAGATTATATTTTTGAAAAGTGAGAAATCCACCTGACTGCTGACACTTTTTAATTTATAACTCTTGACACCTTATAATTTTGTGAATCCGAAAGAAGTGCCTGTGTCCTTCAACATAAAAAAAAATGAAATACTTCTGTGGTTGGAATTTGTTCCTTCTAAATTTTTATGTATCAAATTTTCCTCCACTAGATATCAAAAGATAATATAAAGTGGTTTTTCATTAGTCTGTTCAGAAAGCATCGTACTTTGTTGGCAATGGAATGCTTGCCTTAGGGAGACTGCCTTGCCAGTAGTGAAGAATTTCATGATAGCTTTAGAGAACAGGATAGGGAGAAGAAAAAGGCACATTTTAGTCACCCCTTCCTCTGTTGGGAAAGAAAGTTGAGCCTCATTGCTTGGAATCAGATTATATTGTGCTAACTTTAGCAGCCAGGCAAAGTAAAGCATCTTTGAAGGGGTAGGTGATTTAATCTCTTTTGTTTGACATAAATGATTTATTGTCTGATGGTGGATATAAAATGCCCTATCAGGTAACAAATTCTGTGAGCATGTAAAAATTTATTTAAGAAACAAGAGGTGGCCCTGGCCAGGTGGCTCAGTTGACTGGAGTGTCGTCCCGTACACCAAAAGGTGGCAGATTTGATTCCTGGTCAGGGCACATACCCAGGTTGTGGGTTTGATCCCTGGTTGTGGAGCACATGGGAGGCAACCAGTTGATGTTTCTCTCTCACATAGAGGTTTCCTTTTCTCTCTCTCTCCCTCTCTCTAAAAAATCAGTGAACAGGCATATCCTCAGGTGAGGATTAAAAAAAAAAAAAGAAACAAAAGGTAGCTATAAAGATGAGCAAAACAACTTTGTTTTTGAGAGATGAGACTTCAAGACCCTTCTCTAAGTGGCCAGGAGACTAACTATGCAGAGATAGAATAGAATGCACAAAGCTCTGATGTTATGCTGTGAGTGAGCATGTAATGACAGCACATTATTTATAAAGCTCACTACTTTTTGATGCTAGTTTTGATATGAGAACTTCTGCAGGGCTTATGCTGGCAAATATAAATATAATTTCATGAACGAGAAAGAATTAAGGTTGGTACATATATATTGTATTTTTTTCTGCACTATATAATCAGATGATGGAAAGAACAATACTCTTTTCTTCAGCTTAGGTTTTGCTTTTAAATATTTTTCCAAATCCTGCTACCAATTTCTTAAGAGTGCATCTCTATTTATATTCAGTTAAAGCTTTATAATGAAATTGATTTTTTTAGGGCACTAAAGAACAGAAAAGGCTTCATGGTTTCATGGTGCAGAAAAACCACCAATACTCTTTTATTATTCTTGAGTTACTGAAATAAAATGTTTTTTGTTGTTTTTTTAAATCCTCACCCGAGGATATTTTTTCCATTGCTTTTCAGAGAGAGTGGAAGGAGGAGAGAGAGAGAAACCTTGATGTAAGAGAGACACATTGATTGATTGCCTCCCGCACGCGCCTCAACAGGGATCAGGGATTGAACCTGCAACCCAGATATGTGCCCTTGATCAGAACTGAACCTGAGACCCATCAGTCTGCGGGCCAGCGACCCAGCCACTAAGCCAAACCGGCTAGGGCAAATGTATTTGCTATAGATAAGAAAAACTAAATAGTTTTCAAGGCTTGAATTTCTACACACAGTAGTAGAGAAATTTTTTTCCTTTTACCTTTTCAGACGAATAGAACTTTTTGTTAGGTTTTAGCAGAATTGAGTGTTTTGCTGCTTGAAAAATACTAAATTAACATATATTTTTTGTGTAAATAATGAGCTCTCATCACTTGACACAGATTCCTGACCATTTTGTCTCTTATGGTCATTCGAGAATATGATGAAAACTATGTACTATTTCTTCAAAAAACATTTTGCATAAAACTGCATAAATTTCAGAGGATTTATGGGTTTTAAAACTGGATCTGTGCTGTAGGAGATACAAATCAAGTAGAAGAAATGTAATCTGTCAAGGAGCTGAAAGGACACTCGATGTAGATATCTGAATAACTAGGCCACCTGTTCCAAGCAATGAATGATTAAATACAAGGCCTTGAATTGTAGAGCAAGTGCTGTAGGCATTCAGAGAAGGGGCACTCATTAGGGATGATATACAGAAGGTTTGCTAGGAAAGATGGGGCTTAGCTGAACTAAAGTGCTGTATAGATGTTCTCCGTTACAGAGATGTAGGGCTTGCAGTGTGGCCAGGAAGGGGACAAGAAGTAATGATAGCAGACGAAGAGAGAGCATGATGTGTACAAGTAAGAATTAGTCTTTACATTGGGGAGCAGTGGCAGGTGATTGTGGATGGGCAGATCTTTAAGGAGAAGTGGAAATAAGAAGAGGATTATGCCATTAGAGATGAAACTTTGTGCTAGGTATTTAAATAAGTACTGTCACCCTGGCTGGCGTGGCTCAGTGGTTAGAGCATCGGATTGCACACTGGAGGGTCTTGGGTTGGATTACTGGTCAAGGGCATGTACCTGGGTTGCAGGTTCAAGCCCTGGCCCCGGTCAGGGTAGGTACGGGAGGCAACCAATCCGTGTGTCTCTCATATTGATATTCCTCTCTCTCTCCTTTCTCTCCCCACTTCCACTCTCTCTAAAAATCGATGGAAAAAATATTCTTAGGTGAGGATTAACAACAACAACAACAAATGTACTGTAACTTTTTAATCAGTAAGGAAACTAGCAACCATATTTTTAGCTCTACTACTGGGATATTATATTTATTCTTTAGGAGAAGCTCTTCATTTTCAAGCTGGTCTGCGACTACATGTGTATTTTATAGTTTTTCATAATAAATAGAAAATTCATCTCCAATAATCTAGACAGAACAAAGAATAGGTATGAGAAGTTAGGCCTTTTATTTGGGAAGAATAAAAACAAGTATCTGTAGTTTGCCCAGATAAATATGCTACTTATTCTAACAATTAGTATTTTAGTTATTTATTAAGTAAAGTTATTATTATTATGGTTATACTAGTACTATAAGTATTCTGGCTATACTATAATAATGTTATGACGTTTTATTATGGTTATACTGTACACTAAAGTACAATTATTAAATTACCATGTTTATTCTAAGTACTACCTTTTTGGGCTTGTTTTGTTTTGAAACAATTATTCATTATTTTTCACCACTGTGGATTGACTGGGTGGTCCTTCTACTATGGTGTTTGCTGTCACTCATGTAGCTGTTCTCAGATGGTGGCCGGCCAGGCCAGAAGGTCCAAGGTGGCTTTTTTTACAAGTCTAGGGTCTTGGTGCTGACTGTTGGCTGGGTGTCTGATCTTTTCCACATCGTGTCTCATCTTCCAGGGACTTTCTGTATGACCACCAAGGGAACCGCTGTTTAGATTTCTGGAGCTCTTTTCTGTGTAGCTTCCTCTTCATACGTACACATTCAGGTTGCACTATCTCTCTCATTCAGTGGGGCTGTTTTACTAAGTTTGGGTTTCATTCCTTGTACCGTCATCTGGAAAGTGCCATCAGGCAGAGAGAGCTGTGGTAACTGTAGAGTTCATCTCTTTTGTTTCGCTTGCATCAAGAACCATAATACTGCGCTGCCTACTGTGCATTGTCTAAGAACAGTGTCTCCCTTCCCCCTAAAACAAATTATTTTCTAGTTGTTTAAGTGGAAGAGTAAGTCCATTCCTGGAATTCTATCATGGCCAGAAATGGAAGTCCTATACCTCTTTATGTACTGTTAATGCTTAATTTTCTTATTTATTACTATCTAGTTTTTTAGTTTTATTGCTTTCTGCTTTTTTTCTGCTTGTCCTTTGCTTTCTATTTGTTTCCTATATAACAGTTAAAGAGCCTATTTTATTTTTTTTGTTTTTGTCTCCCTTATTGTTCCCATTTTTTGTGATGCATTAATTTTACTCTTTCAGAACATTTAACGTTTATTTATTATACTTTCACTTTATTCCTCATCTTCGTTTTAGTCTTAGATTTGCGATTGAACATAATTCCTTTGCCAGAGGTTCCCCTATCATCTCCAGGTTGGATAAAGATGCTCCTGTGCTAGATTTCCCCAAAAAGGGCTCATGTGTAGTATTCCTTTGATTCCTTTGTATTTAAAACTGTCTTCCTATACCTTAAATACTTGAAGGGCAGCTTGGTTGGATATGAAATCTTGATTTTTATTTTTTTTTAAAAATGTTCCATTGTTGCCTTGCTTTATTTGTTGCTTTCGAGGAGTTTGATGCCACTCTAATGCCCTTTCTCTAAGTTATTTGATCTTTATCCTTGAGGCCCTTAGGATGGAGAATATATATATATATAAAATCTTTAAAATCTAATAATTTTACTAGGATAGGTCTCAGTGTTGTTCATGCCAGGTCAGTTTTCCAATGTAGCTGGTGGGCCTTATGTATATTTAGATTTTTTTTAATTTTTAAAAGCTTTCTAGGATTATGACTTTAAGTATTAGTTCTCATATTTGATAATTATTGATTAGATTTAGTTATTTTTTCAGGACATATAAAGGGAAAAATATTGAGTCATTGAAAAAGTGAATAATTTTCATATCATATGGGGGTGATGAGGAGGGCAAAGAAAGAGCTTATTAAAAAATTGTACAAAGCATATTAAAAAGTAAATGACACTTTTCTAATGTTATTTTCTATAAATAAAATTTGTTAAAAAAGAATAATCAATAATTAAGGATAACACTACCCCCCCTAGTAATTAAGAAAGTCAAGTAGGCTGACATAGCTAGTATTTACACAACATTTTAATAGTCCTAGAAAGCTTAACGTAGCAATTGATGAGAAAGGGAAGTCTCCAGGCAGACCCAAAGGAGTCAAGTTAATGTATAGATACATTACTGAACTGTTTTGTGAATTTCTTCCCTTTGGTTGTGAAAAGTACTCTAGTTTGAACAATGCTCAATTTAAATGCTGGGAAGTATGGTGACTTTTTTTATTGTTATTTATATCTTTCTGCCAATCCTGCCTTATCTAAGTAAAGAAGTGATGTGAAAATCTAGACTAAACAGAAATGTAATCTTAATGGCAAGCTGTCAGTCTGTTTTCTTGCAGAATGAGCTGATGCTCAGGATTTAGTATATAGTATACCAAGTGAATGAAAGTTTGTGTGAAGTTTTTGCTTTGATGTTTATATGTCTAGATTGTTTTACAACCTTCAATTTAAAACACCCCATTATGAAAGTTGGCATAAATTTTGCTTGGTTAGAAGAGGCTGTAAACATTTACTTTATCTTCACTGTGTTTTAATGAGAGTAGACTGATGGATTTCTTTTTGTGAATTTATCCTTAGGCGGTGTTAAGCAGTGTTATCCTCAGATGTAGCCTTGATACTCCTTCCTGTTATTTGACAGCCCTCAACTGATTTAATGTCAGATGTTACAAAAAACATTTGATTTACAGTTCATTTTCTTTGTTAGAAATAGTTATTTATTTTTAAGAAAATATATCTTGATTTCATAGAGAGGAAAGGAGAGAGATAGAGAGAGAGAAACATCAATGATGAGAGAGTCATGGATCAGCTGCCTCCTGCACGACCCCGACTGGGGATTGAGCCCGCAACCCAGGCATGTGCCCTGACCGGGAATCCAACCCCAATCGCCTGGATCCTGGGTCGACGCTCAGCCTGGCCGGGCTAGAAATAGTTATTTTTTAATCAAAGCTTCAATTAGGTACATTATAATGCTTTTCCTATACAATAACCAGCTGTATTTCCTGGTTTTCTTTTAATGTATTCTAAGAAGACACTGATGCTAATTACATTTATAATTCTTTCTGCACAGGCTGCTTTGTACCGCCTCAGTGGAGACTGGAATCCCTTACACATTGATTCTAACTTTGCTAGCTTAGCAGGTGAGTTGCTAATAATATGTACCAATGAAAAATATTAGCTCAGTTATCTAAATAAGACTTAAAGACATTGCTACTTATGACTGGTAGTTTAGGTAACATTTTAAAATAGCCCTCTCATAATACATTTAAGCAAAGGATATGGAAAGGTAGGAAATAGTGTTCAGAAAATGCTGCACTTGAGATTATGGTGAAGGAAACTCCTGCAAGTGCAAAGTCTAGGATTGGACCGTGGGGCGGTGTCTGAGTTATCATGAAGGGCAAAGTCATTGGAGGAGAGAGCAAGAAACTGAAAGGTTAGGGAAAGATTATGTGCATACGTGGATATTGAAATTACTATGGATGATTTCAGGGTTACAGCCAAGGCTAAACAAAACAATGCTTTGTGTTTCCAAATCTCTAACATTCCTTTCTTGTTTTTTTCTTTCTCTGTTTATTTCATAATTTTCACACAGGAGGTATTATTTATAGAATATTTTCCACATTTTCTTAAAGTAAAAGGTATAATTCATTCTAATGCAATTTAAAGATATATTTTAGAAATCCTGAATTAATTATTCTTGTTTTTAAACATGAAATGTGTCCATATCTAGTTAAATTCTCTCTCTCTTTTTAGGTTTTAACAGGCCCATATTACATGGATTATGTACATTTGGATATTCTGCCAGGCATGTTTTACAGCAGTTTGCAGATAATGATGTGTCAAGATTCAAGGCAATTAAGGTACACGTATATTATTGCATAATTTGAACATTAGGGGTTTTTTTTCTCTCATTCTTAGAGACGAAAAGGAGTTTTAGTGACTTCTTTTAAAATAGGTACTGTACTGAAGTAATATACTTTTTTTTTTTTACATTGACTTAGCAATTAGCATGTTTTCTTTTTGTAGCGAAAAATACCTCTATTACACATTTATAATGAAGGATATTACATACAGTTATAATTTTAACATGTTAATTGGATTGTTTTATAAATTAATTTGGAGCATACATATATTACCGTATATGCTTTAACAAAAACTTGAGATTCACCTTAAAATTTTTTTTAAACTGTTTTGTAATTTGCCTTAATTTGATTGAAAAAAGTGACTGCATTTGAATTCTATTAAACGTGTACCTACATCAGTATGATGGTGGCATTTTGATTTTAGTTTTTGTATTTTTAAGTGGTTACGTTTTCATGCATTATAAATTACAAAGAAAACTATCCCTGAACAATGTCTTTGCAAAAGTGTAAGTCAAAAGATACACACTAAAAAAAAAAATGAAAGCTTTTATCAGTTTGTGCTCCATGTAGGAGAGAAAATGCATTTTTCTGATGTCTTACTTTGATAACAGTGATTATTCTCATGCTTTTCCTTTTATTTGAACTGTTTTGGTGGTTACCTACATAGCCCTACTTAATATAATTATGTTTCTGTTTCTTAGTTTGCCAGGATTAAACACTATTTATTGACTTTGTATTTGGAAAGACAAAGGATTAGCTTATACTAACTATATCCTTTCTCTATTTATTTTATCATATTGTTTTTATTGCTTTATAAATTTAAATATATTTTAACCTCTCTTTTCTTCTTTGTATGCTGTTTAACTTCCCTCCCAATTTTTTTCTTCACAAGTAGAAAAGTTTCATTTTAAAACATTTCGACCCCAAAACTCATTTCTTTTTAAAGGCTCGTTTTGCAAAACCTGTATATCCAGGACAAACTCTACAAACTGAGATGTGGAAGGAAGGAAATAGAATCCATTTCCAAACCAAGGTATGAATAATGTTTTCTTACCCACTTCACTGTATCCTATAATTTTGTTCCGTCTTAACATTATTTTTGTTTTTTTGTTAATTGCTCTGGATGTGAGACAGAAACCTAGAAAATTTTTGTATAATCACTTTTATTTGGAAATAAGATGCTTATGTACCTTGTTTTTTATTTTGTTTTATTTTCAATAATTGGTTCCTGTGTGTGTAGCAGTCACACATCTATTTTGAAAACACAACAATCCTGTATTTTTGGCTCAAGCAATCAAGTTGTTGTCAAAATAAAATCTTCATAAAGTTAAAAACGGGCTCTCAGAGAGATTTAAATGAAAACATGACAAAAAAAATGTATTTAATTCCTTATTGAGGGAGCTTACAAGCAAGATGATAAAACTGGTTCAAAAGGCATTCTAAAATAATTTTACTGAGTTAGGGACAAAACTGGTTAAAGTCCTGAAGAATAATAAAACCATATCCTTTATGGTTATGTTTTCTACTGGACAGAAGTTGTATGTATCTTAATCACACAAAAATCCACAAATTAACATTTTATGTCAGAGTCTAAGCCTAATTTATAATAAGTGACAAGACAAATAAAAGTGTATCTCCCTGTAGAGTTAAGTAACTTTTGGGTGAGGCTGTTAGCAGTGCTCCAGTAAAATACTAAAAGGACATGCAACCATCCTTTTATTTGTAAGTTTTTAAGAGATGATTTTCGTTAAGACAGCTGACCAGGCTGATACTTTTTGGCCTGATCTTGTTGTACTACATAGATGGTTTGTGCTGAGCAGTTTAAACACCACCACTAATAATAACAGCTTTCAGTTATCGAGTACCTATAAGCAGGCTTTACCATTCTCTCTATTCATAACTCTGCATTTAATATAAAATAGTCTAGGTTCAGGTCTTCTAAATAACTTGCTGATAATCACACAGAAAGTGGTGAAGCTGGCATAGAAACTCAGATCTGCTTGGCTCAAAGCTTAGATCCCAGGGCCCTGTACCTTTTTACTGTATCATGATTTCTTTCATAAATAAATAACTTTGCAGAACTCTTCTTTCTGTGGTTGCTTTACTCCTAATTACTTCCTGCTGCGTGCAGTATCATTTTCCTTTTTGCTTTGTGCATACTATTTATTTCAGTTTTCAAATTCTTCCTGTGTTTTAGGCTTCAGTTCAAGCTCTGCCTTGCCCTTAGAGACAGTCCCTGGCTTACTCCCCTTTCCCACCCATACAAACATGCACATTGGGTTTTTCTGAAATCTTCTTGCAGTTAATGTTTGTGCTACATAGTCTGGAGCCCTCCTATTTTTCAGTTATTTTGTGTAAGTTTTACTTTTGGAATAAGATTATGAACCCAGAGTGCTGAGGACCATGACTGTATTACAGACTTTTATTTTTCCACAATTCTAGTCTGAACAGTACAGAAATCATTTCTGTGGATACAAACTCACAGGGAGAAATAATTTAAATCCAAATATAATAAATTCTTACCATTTTGATAAATCTAAGCATGTCTTCTTATCTTTTCAGTATATTTGCTATTTTCCCCCTCAGTGATTAGATGTACTCTTTTCCTATAAGTTGTATATAAGATTCCTCCTTCCTTGCCTCCTTCCCTCCTTTCCTTCTTCCCTCCCTCCCCCCTCCTTCCCTCTCTTCCTTCCTTCATTTTGTATTTTAAGAACATCTTAAACTAATGTTTGAAATGATATGTTTGTAATTTACTAAAGCATATTTTGTTTATAAATTCTCTTTTCCATGCCTTTCACTGTATATAATTTGAAATAAAATGAGCAAATTGAAAGATCTTTTTTCTGAAGTATGATGTGAAGTAGTCAAAGGATAATGATCCTGATTGTTAAAATCAGTTTTAATGCTACCTTAATTTTTAGACACTCTTCTGTACATTTGTAGTGATACCATAATTTTATGAAAGAATAGCCATTGGAATAATTTTAGATAAAGTATTAGGAATTAGAATTTGAGTTCCTTTAATAAGAGTATTTTGATAAAAGGCTATTTAAGCATTTAGTTTGTGCTATGTACACTTTCTATTTGAATTAAGAACTAGAATAAATACTTTTAAAAAACCAGTATTAACAGAAAAAACATCCTTTGATTACCACTACCTCATGTGGCTATTGTGCCATGCCTTCTACTACTTAAGAATTCAGTAATTTTCACTTTGGCTCCCATTAGACACACAGTTGTGTGTGTTTTTTTAAAGTCCCCCAAGAACTACTGCCCAGGCTGCACCCCAGATTATTTAAATTGGAATTTTTGGAGATGGGACCTAGTCATACATATTTTTTAAAGTGCTCCAGTTGATTCTACAGTTAGGTTAATAACAGTTGTATTAAATCAGTAAGACTTCATGTTTATTCATCTTGATACTTAGTTTATGAGCTTTTTATTTAATTTGGAGTATTATTTTCTCTCATATGAGAAAAAAATGTAAATTTCTTTTAAATGACTTTATTCTGTTTCACATGAAGTTGTGTTTTCATTGGAGTTATCAGAGAGAATTGGTTTATTTTTCCTTTTGTATCCCTTATAAGACCCAAGAAACTGGAGACATCGTCATTTCAAATGCTTATGTGGATCTTGTGCCAACATCTGATGTTTTGGCCAAGACACCTTCTGAGGTAGGTTATAAAACTGGTGTCCAACTCATTTCCTAATTTCTGAATTTCAGTTAGGATTACTCTAAGAATGTCCAGTCTACCTTAGAAAATTAAGGTTCTTAATTCAAAACTACTTAGAATAAAAAGAGTATTTTGACAACATACAGATTTTTAAAATACTTTTTGGAGGGGATACTGGGGTGTCTTTCAAGAGAAAATAATTAAATTTCCAGTGTTAGAGTACCTAAATCAGTTGTTTAATGAGAAATAACAAGCAAGCAATATGTGGGAGAAAAATAAATGAAAAAGTTAAATATCCTGAACCTTTTCTTGATTTAAAGCTTTGTATAAATACAAAGATATAAAAACAATAGCGTGTATTATTTATAAAAACATTTTTTATGTGAGAGAGAAACATTGATCAGTTGCCTCCCCCGTATGCCCTGACTGGTAATCGAACCCACAACCTTTTGGTGTATGGAAGACGCTCTAACCAAATGAGCTACACTGGCCAGGGCAAAACATTTTAGTTATTCTCTGTTAACATGCCGAGGCTTTTAATAAAAACGTCTCTGTTCTCTGTCTCCAAAATATTAACTTTGTGATGTTGAGGTTTTCATACCTTTACCTTATGATCTTAAATGGCCAAAGATTAAAATCTCTCAAGAAGACTCTAAGATCAAAAACTTATGAAGTTTAAGAGCTAGGAGAAATTCAGTTTTCATATAATTAGTCCCATTTTACAAATAAATAAGACCCCACAAGTTGATCGATTTGTCCAGCATCTTCCTATTGAAGTTAGGATATAGGTTGTTTGGTTCCTAATTTACTTTTAAACTATTATTTCTGAATGCTGATAAAAGTAAAAACCTCTTATTAAGAGGGCTGAGGTTCTGGATGACACGAATAAATACAAGGAAAGTGTGAAAGAAGTCAGTTGTAAAAAACACACAAAACATACTGGTTTACCTTATTTAGATGTAGATTTTGGAAAAACTACCTTATCACACAAGTATTTTGTAATTATTTTTCCCCTTGACTCATTTTTACGTAACTTTTAAAATTAGATTTTCTCTTTTTCTTAGGGAGAGGATCTTTCGAGTACCTTGGTATTTGAGGAAATAGGTCGCCGTCTTAAGGATGTCGGGCACAAGGTGGTAAAGAAAGTAAATGCTATATTTGAGTGGCATATCACTAAAGGTGGAAGTACTGCAGCTAAGTGGAGTAAGTTATATCCCTGATTTTATAATATTCTAAGGTAACGCTTAGTAAACAGAGATGAAGTATCCTTATTATAGTTAAAACCTGCCTCTTTGAAAGTAGGTAAATCCTATCTTCTTAGGTCAGTTATTTTTCATGAGAATAGCAGGCTTCAGGTACCCAAAGACATGTATGTTTTTTAGAGATGTAGGGAATCAGTTAAAATGAAAATATCTGTTTTAAAGATCCTATTGTAACACCTGAGTTAGTACTTTTAAACAGTCATCTTAGTTGTATTCTTCTTTTAGTAATCTTCATATTTCTCTTAAATATAAAGCAGGTTTATCAGGTCAAATGGAATATTTTTGTCATTATATTTTGACAATTTTAAAATCGTTTTTTTTCATTCCAAGACATTAGTAATTTGCATTATTACCTTAATGATCAGATTGTTGTTTAAGGGTGCCTATTTAAATGCCTTGAAAATCAAATTATTTCTCATTACAACCGAAGATCACTATCAATGTGCATTTAGACCAAAAATTAAAGTGCACCTCTAAATCAGCTGAAACTTTTGAAATAATCTTCTATTACATATTCCTGAAAAACATTTTGAAGTTTCGTTCAGTTGATTTTGGTTCAGTACAAACACCTGTCTTTTTAATATAACAGTTGCTGTTTCTTTTAGGCATTGTATGTTCACTGTATAAATTTGGTATAGAAAGGTGTAAAGGAAAAAATGACGTATAATCCTACCCACAGTTAACCCTGTGATGTTCGTTTTTCTGGAAGACATTCGTGCTTATAGGGTGTTAATCCAGAAGGGCTATAAAGGAAGGCAAAAATGTAATATGTATTTGTTCCCTCAAGTTTAGAAGTGCCTAATAGTTTTCTAAATAACTTCATAGATTAACATTGTATATGTAGGTGTAACTACTTCCCTTCCTTTCTTCTTTCTGTCCTTCCCTTTTTCTTTCTGAGTTTCCATGATGGAATTCAGTTTTATCCCAACGGGTGACAGTGTATTGGAAGCTGAGTTGTAAAGATAAAGCACAGGACTTCCGAAGATGTTGGTGAAGAAGAGAAGTGAGATCTGTGGGAGTGAGCAAGGGCGCTGGGACTGTGGCTTGCCGTGGGCAGAGTAGAACTCGGAGGGATTTGGACAGTCTACAAGCGACTCACTCTTGGAAGACAGTTTCAATAACCAGCTAAGATGATTCCCTAATCTTGGTGACACTTTCCTTGTAGGCAATATTAGAAAATGTGCTTACATTGAAAAGTTACTTTGAATTAACTTAGAAAAGGGCTTTTCCCTTATATTTCCACTGGAAAAATGGGAATATTGGAATCCTGTTAACAAGTACTTATTATTGGTGCCTAGTGGCTTATGTTTGTTTTATTACCTCTTCATCAGGTGCTTATTTATCAAAGTTAACAGTGAAATTAGATCTTAAAGCTTTCTCTGAAAGAATTCACTGTTCCCCTTGATTACTGCCGCCTGTTATTTGATTGGTTCCTCAGCTGTGCAACTATTTTCAGTTCTGTTTGTTGTATTCTTGCATCTTTGTGTCACGGAGTTAAGTCACAGCTGGCAGCAGTAGAAACTATTTAGGTCTTTTGGCTTTTGGTATCTTAGGTGATTCCATGTTGGCATCTCTGTATCTTGGCACCTAGTGACATAAAATTGATGATTGAATGCTTTGATTTCTGAAGTGCCTTTTATTTTTTTACAAGCAGTTTTAAAAATGTTTTGCTAAACACTTCATTACCAAATATTTTATATGTTAAATTGCTGTTAGTTTTCCCAGCCTTGTTCACATGTTGGCAGACCTGAACCTGGTGACAGAGAACAGGGCTAAGCTGCTCGGTTTACCTTGGTTGGGCTGAAGTGTCACTGGAGCTGCATAAGTGACTGACCCTTGAGCAAGTCTAGGAACAAGGGGTTTAGGCTCAGTGGCCTGGAAGGGTCCGTCCCACCCAAAGATCCCGGACCATGCCCGTCTTCCCTGTTCCCTCCCTCCCCCTGCCATCCAGTTAACACCAGCCGCCAATCTCCGGGCAGAGTACGTGTGTGTTGTGGGGAACAGAGAGCCTTTGGAAACCAAATTAGTGTGACTCTAGGGAGAATGAGTAAAGTGCTGGGGCCAGTGCAGGGCTCAGGTGGTTTGGGCTTCGGAGGAGTCGGAGTCGGAGTCGGAACTGTGTCTCTGCAGGCGAGGCCTCTCGGAGGCCTGTTGGTCACCTAGGAGCTGGGAACTGCCTGGGCAGGAGCCACTGTGGCCTCTGCGTCGCCAGGCTGAGAGGATCTGAGAGAGGCTGGAGAGCCCTTCCCTTTTCCCTATGGGCCAAGAGTGTATGTGTGACGGGAGATGTAGGCCCTTGTCTGCGTGAGAAAGCAGAGGAGGGCCTCAGTGAGGTGTTTCGGGAAAGGAAGCTGTGTCTTGGAATACTCACTGGCAACTTCTTATTCTACCTCTGGAGACAATGTTTTGATTATGAAGTACTGTTTTAGAGTTATTAAAAACATGATCCACAGGTAGTGCTTCCTTAAGTAGTTGAGGTCAAAATAGAAACCTATCTTACTCATTTCACCATTAATACTTGTTAGAATATCAAGAATATGGCGACTTTTGTCTATGTCTTTTTTTATTACTACAAAATGTAACTGAATGCCTGGACGTGTTTGAACACTTTTTTTTGGTATGCCTTCAGGTGCTTTACCCTTTTGAATAAAGGTTTTCCTTTGGCTTTTTATTTTTCTAGGGATTCTTGGATTAGGTTGGAAGGGTAAAAATGGACACCAGATGGAGAGACAATCTTCTGAATTTCCTTTGAACAGAGCCTGTTGCTCACTATAGTTACCTTACTGTATTATGATAATTTCTAATTATATGTCTCCTCCCACTTGACCTTGGGTTTAACACTAAGAAAGAGCTTCGGGTTGATTTATTGCCAGCTTCTAGTGTGGTCTATGACACATAGTAGCCTGATTCTGTATATGTTGAAGAGCTGCTAAGAGCCATGTAGAATGCACAGTTCTAGATGGAATCAGATGCCTGCCTTTTTTTAAAAGTGCTGAAATTGGTGCCTTTTCTTCTTTTAAAACAATCAGCTTATTGTATGGATAGTAATCGGTATTTTCTGTTTAGTATGAGGGGAATTGTTCAGGAATAATATGGTACAATTGAAACATTTTATAAGTAAGCAATATATTTTATGATACTTATTACTATGAATTTCTGAGACCAGCCAAATTTGTCTTCGTAAACCTTTTGGATCTCATTCTATTCTAAGCAACAGTAAAAATCGAGAGGAATGAAAGATGACAGGAAGGCATAAAGAAGATTAAAGAATCAGATGCTTTATGTGGCCTATAGAATAGTCTGCTCCTGAAAATTAAAACACAGTTGCTTTTATCTGCAATTCCAGAGACTGGAAGCTCTAAAAATGGCAAGTTTTTTCTCTCGTAACTCATTGGTGGCAAAACCTGACCTAAACTTATATGATGCAACTGATTGTCCCTGTCTCACCTAGTTACTCAAATAGAGAAATCATGTATTTGTTTATAGAGTGATGCAGCCCTGAAGGCCTTTCATAATATGTAATGCATGCTTTATGAACCGTATTTTCTTCCTAAATCTGAAAAATTCTGAATTCTTAAACACATCTGTCCCGAAGGAGTTTAAATAAGGAATATACTGTTCATATATAGTACAAATAATTCTGATAGAACAGAAGTGATAAGAGACATGGGAAAGGTGCTGTTGGCTTTCACAGATGGGAGGATTGGTTCATTCAACAAATGTTTGAGTATTTACTGTGTGCCAAGTTCTCTGCTGGGTTGTGGATTACAAATATGAAAAGACAGGATGTCTTTCTTTGGTCTACAGAAGTCAGTATTAGAGGTAGTGTATCAGGGAAGTTTAAAATATTGGAGTTAGGGAGACAAGGGTTGTTGCACTGCAGGTTAAGAGGAAGACCTATATTAAGATGATGGCAGTAATGGAGAGGAAAGGGCCTGTGTGGCTCTATTGCTAAGATAGAATTGATTGACTTAGCTACTGATAATTCCTGAAAAACAAGAGGAATGAGAAAGAGACAGCTAAGTGTTGAGCCTGTGTGACTGAAGATGTTGACTCCGTTACTAGAAGTGTGAAACATGGGAGAGCAGAGAACTTTAGGAGAGAAGATGATAAGCTGTGGTGCCAGAATGGTAGCAGACCGAGATCTGGACTAGGTTGTGGGAACTGCGGGCCTGGAATGTAGGGATAAGTTCACAGGCCAGATACAGAGTAGGAAACCGTGTTCGTGGGGCTATTAGTTGGAACTCAGAGCATTAGCTTTGCTGCTCTGCTTCATGGCATGCAGGAAGGAATTAAAGGAAATCTTTGTTGGTCCTGCAAGCTTATCTGCTATTCATGGTTTATAGAATAATGACTCCAGTATTTCCATTTGTCTCTAAATAAAGCGAGCATCTTAGAATTTGACCAACCAATTTTAAGTAAGCAATTTGTTGTAACTCTAGGCATGAATATTACCCCATGTTCCCAAATAAGATTTGTTTATTGTGTGATTATGTTTAATAGCTATGAAATGGAAACTTTTGACAAAGACAGATTTGTTTTCATGTAATAATGATACACTGTTACTGAGTAAAAAATATGTTTTGTTTTCCTTAGGATGATAGGTTTAAGCTGGTTGGCGTTGAGCAATTTGGTTGCTTTTCTCCTAAAGGAAATTTAGTTTCCTTGTACATATTTGTAATCTTTTCCATGATAGGAACATAATTGAATTTTGTATTTATATAGCAAGATTATGAAAATACTATGCATTATTGCTTAAATAATGTTAGTTAAGTAATAAAGTGAGTTGACTTTTTAAAAATGTGTACTGTAACTAATTGTGTAGAGCTAAGTCTACCTATCCGGGCTAAATCCAGGCATCCATTATGTTCTATGTAACAATGACTGGATGTTAGAGGTGTTTGTATTTTGCATGTTAGAAGTCATGTTTTGGATCTTGGAAATTTGCCAGGATGTGGAAGAATATGTACAGTTTGAGCAGCTGCCATTCTTTTAAGATCAGAAAACATTCGTGGTTGAGGATGCCATTTGATCATTAGAGCCTGTTAGCTCCTGGGTAGCTGCTCATCTTCAAACCAGTTTACACTTGAGGGTTTCTCAGCTTGTATATGAACAAAATCTTACAGGTGTTGGTCGCATATTTAGGATTGGGATCCAAATGGTGCCTCATGTGTTTATAGAAAAGACTTGAGAGATGATCTTTGGAAAGAAGATGCTGCCCAGTCTGGGATGGGAACCTGTTTGTTAGAGAGACGCCTGCTTCAGGTTACTCTCTCTCCCCTTAGCAAGAGCGGCTGCTTCCCTCTTACCAGCGCAGCCCTGACTGTTCGCCCACGTGCATTTACACACAGAATTACTCAAAACTACCACGGCTTTCCATTTTGCTGTGTGTGATTCATTTTAATCGTATCTTCTTATAGTTTTTTATTTTGAAATAATTTCAGGCTTACGGAAACGTTTCAGGAATAGTACAGAGACATGTATCTGTTCTTCACCCGGCTTCTTCACATCAACATTTTATTTCCTTTCCTTTACTGTTTTCTTTATTAATATTTATTATTGTTTTTCTGAAGCATTTGAAAGTAACTTGCAGACATGATGTCTCTTCATCCCTGAATAGTATAGTAGCACCTCCTAAGAGTACTTTCTCTTATCTATGCATGGACTAATGATCAACATCAGGAAATTAACATTGATGCAGTACTATTTAATCTACAGGTTTTAGTAATACTTCACCAATTGTCCCAGTAATGTCCTTTAGGGCAAAAGAGTAATAGTAGTAATAACAACAATAATATAAATGAAGAAAGAAAAAGTAAGAGCTGCTTGGGTCTGATTTAGGATCACATAGTGCACCGGTTGTTAGGTCCCTTAGTCTCCTGTAACCGGGAGGGTTCCCTAGTCGGTTTTTATTTTTAATGACATTGACAGATTTGCAGATCAGAGGCCACTTATGTTGTAGAATGTTCCTCAGTTTGTGTATTATTTGCTGTTTCTTCAGGATTATTAGAATTTATTAAGTTGTGGCAGGAATAGCACAAAAGTGTTGTGTCCTCCTTGATGGGATTTAAAAAGAAATCTTTACTTTTATCCTAAGTTTTTTGTTGTCATTATTTTTATAAATATGCTTCTTCCAGGTGCTTTATAGTCACCCATTTAACAAAGTTGCTAAGTGCTTTCCATTCAAGCAAGCATAGGGGATACAGACTAGGCGATCTTGTTTCAGCAAAGAATTTATCATCTTAAGGGGAGAAGGCATCCGCAAAAGCAACTTCTTTCTCCCATGCTGTCTCTTTGTGATTTGTAAGGTATATGTTCTAAGACCTTTAGAGATCCCCAAATTTCCATATACCATGTGCCCATCTAACACCTCTCCCTCCCCTATTAAATGCTGTAAAGTGTAACTGAAATTTAATGGACTCTTGTAGAGCCTTAATGATTATATAAACACAGAGCTAACGTCATTTATAAAGCTTTTAAAATAAACTATGACTAAAATGAAATATATACAATCTGTTTCTTCATTTTAAGATTAGCAGTGGCCTTCAGGCCTCTGTAAACTCAGGGCCATGGTGGTAGATGATGGTTCTGCCACAAGAGCCAAGCTGTAGACCGCGACCTGAGCCACTGAGAACTGAAAGTTCCACTTCTTTACCCAAATTTCTCTATCCTGCTAAGAACCGTCCCTCTCTTAGTGCTCTTTTCTTTTACCAGTTTCTAGGTTTCCACCAAAGAAAGTTTGATTGCTTTACCAGAGTCATGGCTGTGAAGTAGCAGGTTAAACCAGGTCAGCGAGAGGGCAGGTGGACAGCAGAGCCTTCTTAGCCAAGAGACTTGCTCCCGCTCTTTAGCAGTAAGATGGGCGCGGTGCAGCGTTCCTCCTGAGCTAGACTGGCCTGCGCAGCGGGCCTTAGAAATGCCAGTGAGGAGTTCAGCCGTGGTGGTTGTCCCTGAATGCCAGAGGTTTGCTTTCCTTTAGTCTTTCCTTTCTCCCTTTCTCACTGCCCCTCCTCTCTTTCTGCCTTCTTCCCTCTTTTTCTCTCTTTCTTTCTTTTTAACTCTAGCACAGATAATACGTGAAAACACAGTCATAATATGTGAGTTTCAGTAAGAACAGAGCCTTTGCTCTTCATGCTTCACTGGTGTAAGTACCTTGCATATTGTCTGCCACCCACAGTGGAGACAGTGGAGTGAGTGAGTGGAGCACACAAAGCAGAGAGGTTCCCTTCTCTTTGCCCTTTCCCTCCCCTAGGTAACCATTATCGTCAGATTATTTTTTTAGTTTAGTTGGTAGCTTTTTCTTTTGTGGAGAGTTAGAGTGATTAATTTCCCCTTTGGAGCAAGGCTTGGCCAAGCAGAATGTAGCTAAGCACTCTGGGCTTTCCTTACGTCTGTGTAGCTTTTCCTTGACCCTAAACTGGGAGTTCCCTGTGCACCTGGGGGGAGGGATGGGACTGCAGCCCCTTCACCGTAGCAGAAGCCGCCTTCAGGAGGCTGAAGCTGGGTGGGCGGCGCGGCCTGCTGGGTGAGCCGTCTCGGTCACCCAGGACACCATTAAAGCTTAGAACGTGTGACTGTGGCATAAAGCTCTGTGAGTGTTATACAGAGAGCAATGGAGGCAAATTTCTAATAATGTTTCTAGTTACCCAGCCTGGGGCACTTACTTTTCTTCAAAAACAGTTAATGGAAAAGAAGTTAATTTTAATGTTTACACACAATAATTAGGGCAGTAAATAAAATCATAAGTGTAACACAACTAATTAGAAGAATTTTTAGAATTTATGTTGACAGTCTTGATGAATTCAGGTATTTGAAAGGTGATTATAGTATGTATTCCCTTCCCCAACACACGGCTCTTTTAAAATTCAGCTTCCTTCTCTGCTGAGTATTTGAACCTAAATGCCATACCCATATAAACGTCACCAACTTAACTTCCTTATGTTATTCTACATTGGTTCACACTTAGGAGGTTGCTGTTGTGTAAACTTCTTCACTGAGGAAAAATTTGACTGTTTAGAAGAACTTAATGAAAAGGGACATCTCAAAAAATAGAGGAATAAAATTTTTTCCTAAATGGCAGGTAATATATAGTGTAGAATAAGCAGCACATTAACTTGGAGACGGTAAAAATGTCTGTATTTTAGATGGTTTATTTTACTCTGTCTTGTGAAGAAAATACGACACACAGTGGTGTTTTCTTATTTTCCCAGCTGTTGACCTGAAAAATGGCTCCGGGAAAGTGTATCGCGGCCCCGCAGAAGGCTCTGCTGATGTTACAATCACACTGTCAGATGAGGATTTCATTGACGTGGTCCTGGGCAAGCTTGACCCTCAGAAGGTAACATTCTTCAAATGTTCGTTTATTCATCATCGTTCTTCCTGTTTGACAATTGCAGTTTTCAGCTGACTTCCAAATTCTGATTTATAAGACAGAGTTCTTACAACTCTGAAGAAGATGCAGTTGATACCAATATCTGAGTTGACAGATCATGAATCTTTCTAATAGAGTTTCAACTGACACTCTTGAAAACTGAATTTTTGGTGAAATTCTTCTTTACCATATCAACAATATAAAATCTACATCTAGACTCTTTATTATATTATGTCATTAGTTCAAAGGTGAAAAACCCTATAATATTAGTAGCTATTAAATGAAATTAGACATTCATTCCTGATATATAAGATTAAGAACTTGTCTTAAGCGTCATTGAAAACTGGCTCTAGAAGGATAGAGGATAGCACCTGGTGCCTCATTGAAGGTGAAACATTTAGAGACAGGCATTCAGTGAAAAGCATGATTAAGACGAGAGCGCCCCCTCTGACCAGGATGAGTCAGTGTTGTTCTGAAACTTTTGGCCAGTCTACAAATACACAGATTAAAGTAACTGCTGTCGCAGTTAGAATGGAGTAGAAAAGTTTGTTATTTTCAAATCGTGATTGTGTCGCTGGAAATCCCAAGAGAATCAACTGATTGGTCCTTAGAAGAGTTCAGAGAAGTGGCTGAATGCACAGTGGTTATTAAAAAATAGCTTTCACATAGCAGCAGAACAAACTAGAAGATATAATTGAAAAAAAATTGTTTATAATTACAACCTAAACTAAAAAATCCTAATGACTCCCCTCAAAAAAGAGTGTAGTACCTATTTGAAGAAAACTATACAACTTTATAAGGAACAGAGTAATTTGAATAAATGGAAAATGTTCGGTTTTTCTGAATAGAAAAACTAATTTAAAAAGCATTATAAAATAATTTTAAAAGAATTGTAAAGTAGTACAGAAAAAATATGTTCTTTGTCACCAGATAAATCTGAGTCTGAATCTTAGCTCTTCCACCTACTCTCTCAAACTTGAATTTTCTTATTGGTAAAATGAATAATTATAATAATTCCAAAGCATTATTACAATAACTAAATCCAATAATATATGTGAAGAGCTTAGTAAGTGCTTGGTACTGAGTGAGTCCTCAGTTAATTCCTTCCCAGGAATTTATTTAGTACCTACTCATATTCGGGAACTAGGGGAGGCTGAACAAGACAATGCACCAATTGTGTGGAGCTTAGTCCTAGAGGTGAATGGAAAAGAAATGTAATTTCAGGTATGAAGAAAAATAAGTCAGGGTAATGGATTAGAGTAATGGTTGGCAAACTTTCTTTACAGGGTCACATTGTAAAATTTTGGGCTTTGCGGGCCAGACGGTCTCTGTTGTACCCACTCAGTTCCGTCATTGTAGAGCTCAAGTAGCCATAGATATTAACGTGAACAAATGGACATGGCTATGTTCCAGTCAAACTTTATTTACAAAAACAGGCAGCAGACTAGTCCTGGCCCACAGGCTATAGTTTGCCAGCCCCTGGATTAGAGTGTGACAGGATGGAGGAACTGTTTTAGACAGGGTTGTCCAAAATGGCCTGATAGAGACCTGAACAGTGAGGGGTGAGCCATAGGCTAAGGGAACAATGAATGCAGAGGCCGGAGGCAGGAGTAGGGTCATGTGTTAGAGTTCTGTAACTATGAGAGGCCAGTGGTAGTGAAATGGGCAGTGGGGAGAGTGGGAGGAGGTGAGATGGGAGAGTGGGCAAGGGCTAGATCACACAGGGACCTTGCAGAGCTCGGTGAGGAGTTCAGGTCAGTGTGTGATAAGGCACTGAGCTGTGGAATGACAGGCGCTCCTAGTGTTTGAACATGACAGCCTTTCACTTGGTAAGAATGAGCTTGCTGTGCTCTTACCACATGTCAGACACTAAGCTAACCACTTCACACACTGTTTCATTTAATTCATACGACAAAGCTGCGCTGTTCAGGCACCGTTGTCCTGCCCTTGTACATGAGCAGGCTGGAGCTCAGACAGGTTGCGGAATTTGTCCACGCTCAGCTCGCTAGTACGTGGCAGGGCCTAGATTCTGACCCAGGCATTCTAATGCCGTAGCCCAGGACCTGTTCACTACTTTGTTCCACCATCTTATTTTATCCTTATATGGCTTTCTGTTCCATGAAGATGTACTAAGTAGTTTTAATCTGCTTTTAAACGTTCTGAATTTAGTATTTTAATTGTCAAGAACACAGTATAGCCTTTTATTTATATGTTCTCAAATTCATGTTTAAGAACACAGACTAAGGCTAGAAGCATAGGTTGAAGCAGAACTCCCAGGTCTGTGAGTCCAGATGAATTATTCTGTGGCTTTCTAAAATATACAAGGAGTCTTATTTTTTCTTAGCTGTCTAAAAATATCTATAATCATTAAACTATCACCGCTGGATAAAAGTTGCCTTTGTTGTCAAGAAGTAACTCAGTTGTATTCAGTCTGAACAGTGATCTTTTTTTTGAATAATGATCTTTTAAAAATACAGATAAAGTGTAGCATGATCAAGTTTGGTACTCTTTTCCCTCCACTCCAGGCATTCTTCAGTGGCAGGCTGAAGGCCAGAGGGAACATCATGCTGAGCCAGAAGCTTCAGATGATCTTTAAAGAATATGCTAACCTCTGAAGGACATGCTTCATTGTTAACAAAAATAGAAGACTGTTCTCTTCACCCAGATATGCAACAATGATTCAGCAAAACTGATCAAACCTAAGATGCAGAGGAAATTGCTTAACATTTTCAGATTTCAGATAACTTTTCAGATTTTCATTTTCTACTAATTTTTCATGTTATCTTTATTTTTACAAGCAACTATAAAATAGCATGTAATTATTCTTATTAGATCTTATCTTCATAATAAAAAATTTTCATTCAAGTCTAGTCTCCATAGAATTGTGATAGTGTTTATAAGTTAAAGGAAAATTAAATGAGTCAAGGTCACTCTGATGCCTTTTGCACTTTCTGTTGTTTTCTGTTCTCTAATTTATTGAAACTCCTGTTTTAACATAAATTTTCAATACTCCTTTTTCATACTTTGCTATAGTAGGTAGTATTCTGCTTTAAGGCAAGAGGAAAGTCTTTGTGTTCCCAGATAGTTTTCTTTCTTCCTCTCTCCCCCTTTGCTAGAAATTTTTTTACATTCATCTAATGCTTATAAGTCTACCAAATACAAAGCGTTCTTGCCTAATTGGTAAACTTAAATCATAAGATGGTCACTAGCAAGTACTCTCATATCATTATTTCCCCCCACATTTAGCTCGGATGAGCATGCTGAGAAAAGGCTCTTTGCTGGCTTGGCTGCAGACGTAATGAGAAGGCGGTGGGTGCTCAGGCCAGGGAGAGAGTAAGTTTCAGTCATGGAGCACAGCTGAGCAGTGTGTGTGGGTGGGTGGGTTCTCTGGGAAGCTGACTTTGAGATGAAGATTCACGGGCACAAAATGTATTTGGAAATGTTCTTGGGGTCCATATGCAGAGGGGTGGGGTGGGTAAGCTGAGGAAGCAGGACTAGGCAGGGGGAGAAGATACGCTGTGGTGCATGTACCACAAGCTTTCAGCAGATGCTTTAAGGAGCTCAGAAGCTGGGATGGCCCTTCAGATTTGTCCTGAGCTAACTAGTCACTGATTATGGCCTGCCCTGTACAGGGCCGTGACCTTGGGGGGAGCAGCAGAGCCATTCCTGGAGTGTGTGTATAGTCAGTTGATTCTCTCTCTGCCCCGTAGCTGGGGAGATATGTCTTCAGTCCTGAATAGGGCTTCTGGGAGCACACAGCACAGTACTTCACTTCAGGGAACAAGATTGAGGGAATTGGAGTTTAGAGATCAAGAGAGATCTCAAATTTAGAATTTTAATGTTTAGCACAGTGCTGGAAATTACTATAGGACCTTAACATATTATTGTTGGCTTAATGAAGGAGCAGGATACGTGGAAGGCATAGAACAAAAGTTGCATGTTTGGCAATTATGCCTTAGTCTTATGAAGTTTGTATGGTATCTTAAAATTAATTTTAATTCAGAGTGATCCATTGTTATGCCACCTGAATTAAAAAAACAATGGCAGTCTTTCAGTGTTGGTCTTTTATGATAGCTGTTGTCCCTGTTGAGCTTAGAAAAGCTTCGTGTCCTTCCAAGTAGAAGCAGCATATTAAAATTAATCAGATGCCACCACACATTAATGAATGTGTTGAATATATACCTTAGGTGCTTAAAACATGTTAAGAAAGTGATGTTTTGATGATCGTACTAACTTCACGGTGCCGGTTGGAAAGGTCAGAGAGGCACTGGCATGCAGACTTGGCAGCTTTCTTAGTCCACATGCCCCTTCACCTCTGTAGCAGTCGATGTTGGGGGGGCACCCTCATTCCTTTCCCCCATCCTCTCATGAGGAATGTATTCACTTCTAATGAGCTTATGAGTTAACCTCTCTTGTCTGTTTTGTAATTTTCTCTGTCTGTCTCTTCAGGATTTTTGATCAAGGTTTCAGCCTTCTCTTTTTGGGAGACATTTTCTTCCTCGATCATTCAATCTACTCATACCTTCAGCCACTACCTCAGTGCTGGTGACTCCCAATCTGCATCTTTAGCTTTGATCTTTCCGTAATTCCCCAGTCCCATCCGCAGATCCAAATCGTTACTAGACTGCATGTAAAGGCCCAAAGTAAACGTGAGCCTCCTCCGCCCCTACAGCTGTGTCTGTAGGGCATCACCTTTTGTCTTAGTTTAGAGCATCACCTTTTGCCTAAAGTAAGAAACCAGTCATCTTTGACTTTTCCTCACACCCCATATTTAAATTTTTATTTAATTTTTTAATCTAAAATAACAGATAACAACAGTATACCATTTCTTGCATCCCCAAGCCCATACCCTTCACTTATAGCAATCATTGATCTGTTCTCTGTATCTAAGAGTTTGATTTTCAAATTGTTACAGTATTTTTTTTTTTTAATATGTCTTTATTGATTTCAAAGAGAGGAGGGGAGAAGGAGAGAGAGATAGAAACATCAATGATGAGAGAGTCATTGATCGGCTGCCTCCTGCACTCCCCCTACTGGGGATAGAGCCCGCAACCCGGGGCATGTGCCCTGACATGGAATTGAACCCGTGACCTCCTGGTTCATAGGCCGATGCTCAACCACTGAGCCACACTGGCTGAGCTACACTGGCTGAGCTGCTACAGTGTTTTTAATTAGAGAATTAACGTTTCTTATGAGTTGTTTAACAAATATGTATTTCTCCACATGTGAATCATCAGTTCTATTCTTGAGTTGACAATTAAAAAAGAAACCCATTTGGCAGATGGCAATGAAACTCCAAGTGAATTGTCCCAGGTCATACTGGGAGAGGTTTGAGGCAGACCAGGAAACTAGGTCCCCAACTTCTGGTTCATGTTCAGTCCACTGTGCTTTTCTAAGCAGTACTTCTAAACACATCTTTCCATCCCTATCTTTTAAGGATAATATGATTCGCCATAAAGTAGACTCCTCAATTAAGGTGAGTGGAGCTATGAAAAGTGCTGTTTCTTTAAAGCTAGCAGTATTTTTACTCTGTAACGTTGGAATTACAGAAAAATTTCAAAGGTGAAATAGGAGAAGGCTGGGTATTGTATAACTACTTGGATCAGAGAAGATCCTTTATCTTTGATGTTTTTTAATTCTGACTGTCCTTGCCGAGTTGAAAGTGTACTACTAGTTGATACCCTATAGCTCCTTTATATATTAAAGTTCCATTCCCCAAGAGCCTTCTTTTAACACCCCAGGGACTCATCTCCAGACCTCCACCCCTCCTCCAATATCCAAACAATATAATACTCTTTGAATTTTTTTCCAGATAAAATCTTGTAGTTGACAAAGTCAAATTCTCTCTTGAATTTAATTAGGTTTATAACTATTATAAAAGAACAGTACTTAAAGACCTAAGACATGGTCTATTAACTCCCCACTTTCTTTATAGTAGCTCATCTTTTTGTGTATCTTAAAAGTGAAATTACTACTTATAAACTATAGAACTATAACTTTATCATTCAGCCATTTAAAAGAAATCACAGGTTTCAATTCTCCAAATTAAGACAATTAAATGTTTAGTTGATTTTCATTTCATGAATTCAATGAGAATTAGTTTAATCACTTATTCAATAATTAAACTACAAAAAATTATTAAAAGTCTCATATCTTTTGTAAAGGCAATTGGATTTTCTAAACTGTTCAACTGAAAATCAGTTCAAGGAAAACTACAAGTTCTGATAATCAAACGGGCATGTTTTCATACTTAATTTCACTTATATATGTCAAAGAATTAGTTTTATGGTATTTTATTCTAAGGATACATTAGAAAGTTACATGATATAATAATGTAATGACGTTGTTGATTGGCATAGTTGAAATAAAGAGATTATCCGTTGCTGAAATAGATTAACGTCTCAATTCAACATGTACAGGCAACTAGTAATAGCTCCCTACTTTTGTGAGCCACCTTACATACTCAGGCCTATTTTTGTTCCTTTTCTGATTTGAAACAGCTACCCCATGAAGAGGAAGGGAATGGTTGCCCTTGGCTGAAAACTCAAGTCCATGTGCTGCTGGTAACCTGTCATGAGAACTGGACAAGTCATTTTCTAGGCTGGTTTCCTAGCTGTTAACAGCTTGGACTAGGTTATCCCCAGAAGGTCTTAGTTTCAAGATTTTAGGAGGCTATGAACATTGAAGTTCTAACCTTGCTGTGCAATCAAGTATTTCGCTTTATCAAGTAAGAATTATAGGGTATATATATGTCTGATGAAAAGCCAGTGATGAAATGGGAGAAAATGGTATAATTAAGACGTCAGAAGTCTTAATGGGGTAAAGGTGGTGGGAGCCCAAGTTTCCAAGCCCTGTTGGTCACCTCTCATTTAATATTTAAATCAAAAAAGTCCGTAGCTGCTTATAGTAAGAAATCCAGTGTCCCCACCAACATATCCATGCATCCTTGGAGGGCTTTTGATGGCTTTCTAGTCACATTTTGATATGATTTTCTGATTGTATTGAATGATCAGTTTCTCATCTCACCTTACTCAGCTACTCTCTTATTATGCATTGAATCTAAATGTGGAATAGCATTCATTTTTGTTGATATTTCCTCCCAAACCATGCACTCAAGGTAGTTGTGTGTCCTAGGCCATTACTGAAGTATTTGGATTAACAGAGGGTTTACATCACAGCCTGAGCCCAGCAGGCTACTTGTGGAATATACTAGACATTCTGGTTCTTAGAGCTGCCCTGGCTACTGCCACCACTGAAAAGTTCCAAACAGGCTGACTCCTAGTCTCCCATGCCTCCAGAAGCTCCTACTTTATTACACACACCCGTTCAGCTGTTTCTCAACCAGGCCATTGGAGGGCCCTGTTCACAGCTAACGAGTTTCAGTGTACATGGCTGAAGAAAAAGGTTTCTCTCCCTAAAGGGAATTCTGCCTCTAGCTTACATGTGTTTTTTCCTCCTGGGCAAAGTAGGATGGCAAGGTAGGAAGTGAGTAGGAAGACTCAGAGGTAGCTTTGGGAATAGGATGCCAGGTGAGGGAGCCAGTGTCCAAGTGCCCACCACCTGCAGCACCCTGTGCCAGGAGTTTTACAGGTATCCCAGCTAATCACAATAAGCATGTGAAGTAGATAATGTCATTAGCCCCCATATAAAGATGAGGAAACAGGGTCAGGGAGGTTAAATAACTTCCTCAAGATCATTCTGCTGTTAAGTGGCAGATCAGGGATTTGGGTACAAGCAGTCTTTATGCTCAACCACTGTAAAACGCTGCTGCCTTGTGCTTTATGCAGGGGCCAAATCTATGTTATTGCATTTTATTCCTGTGAGTTATATGCATTTTTCATCATTTTTCTTCCAAAGAGGGAGCTTTCCCAAAGTCACAGAGTTAGGATGTATTGGTTCTTGGAGTCAAACCCAGCTTATTTTAACTCCTAAGTCT